TCTCTCTCTCTCTCTCTCTCTTTCTTTCTTTCTCTCTCTCTTTCTTTTTTTCTCTCTCTCTTTCTTCCCCTCTCTCTCTTGATCTCTCTTCCTTTCTTTCATTCTTTCTTACGCTCTTTCTTTCTCTCTCTCTCTCTCTCTCTCTCTCTCTTTATCTCTCTTTATCTCTCTCTCTCTCTCTTTCTTTATCTCTTATCCTCTTTTCTAAGCAGCTCTAAAACTTGTTTTGCACCATGTGGTCAGAGTCACTGGTCAATAGGACAAAATAACGTTAACTCCTTTTATTCCTATGATGCTCTAACAACGTGCCTATTCCATCCCTCACTCACCCGACTGCACCACATACCAGGATGTAATATGTGCTAACACGTGACTGCCCCAGGTCACCAATCCACGATCCATCATGACGTTAAGTGCCTACACCAAAGATGTGTTTGGAAGTGTGAGGGATTGAGTTTTAACAGGGCTTTGGGGCCAGACCCGGGGGAGGGGAAGGGGTCAGTACTTAATTGTAAATATCAGCCGGATTCAAGTGTTGAGCGTACTGTGGTGGACGTATTGTGGTGTAAGTACCGTGGTGGACGTATTGTGGTGGAAGTACCGTGGTGGACGTATTGTGGTGGAAGTATCGTGGTGGACGTATTGTGGTGGAAGTACCGTGGTGGAGTACTGTTGTGGAAGTACCGTGGTGGACGTACTGTGGTGGAAGTACCGTGGTGGACGTATTGTGGTGGAAGTACTGTGGTGGAAGTACCGTGGTGGACGTATTGTTGTGCACGTACTGTGGTGGAAGTACCGTGGTGGACGTATTGTGGTGCACGTACTTTAGTGGACGTTCTGTTGTGGACATATTGTAGTGGACGTATTGTGGTGGACCTTTTGTGTCTGGACGTCTTGTGGTGGAAGTACCGTGGTGGACGTATTGTGGTGCACGTACTGTTGTGGATGTACCGTGGTGGACGTATTGTGGTGGACGAACTGTGGTGGACGAACTGTAGTGGACGCACTTTTGAGGAAGTATTGTGGTTGACGTACTGTGGTGGGCGTAATTTCGTGGACGTACTGTGGTGGACGTATTGTGGATGACGTACTGTAGTGGACGTATAGAATTAAAATCTATTTTTTTAGTAGACGAGAAAATGTCCAGTAGGAAGTCAGTAGGGGATGCCCGGTGGGACGTCAGTAGGGGTTGCCCGGTGGGACGTCGTTAAGGGGACTTTGGGATATTCAAGTGCTCAAAAGGTAATTTATTAATTTAAAAAAAAAAAAAAAAAGTTAGGAACTTAAATACGAATTAATTTTTTGGAAATTTTTTATTTGAATAATACGTCGGTTTTAACTAGTATATTCTTGAATTAATCGGTGAAAGTAGAAATGTTTAATTTTCATTCCATAATATATCAAGTTAATGATGGGAAAAATAGTCCACAGTTTACTAAATAATTAGTGCTGTTAACTTAATAAAATATCCTCTCAAAACTCACAGGTTCAAATCTTAAGATTTTTCTGTCTGTTACTGCAAACGCCAGACTATCTTTTGCCCGACTCTTGCAAACCCTAGACTATCTTTTGATCCACTTTTGCAAATCCCAAACTTTCTTCTGCTCCACTTTTGCAAATCCCAAACTTTCTTCTGCTCCACTCTTGCAAATCCCAAACTTTCTTCTGCTCCACTTTTGCAAATCCCAAACTTTCTTCTGCTCCACTTTTGCAAATCCCAAACTTTCTTCTGCTCCACTCTTGCAAATCCCAGACTTTCTTTTGCTCCACTCTTGCAAATCCCAGACCTTCTTTTCCTCCACTCTTGCAAATTTCAGACTTTCTTTTGCTCCACTTTTGCAAAACCCCATACTTTCTTTTGCTCCACTTTTGCAAAACTCCAGACTTTTTTTTGCTCCACTTTTGCAAAACCCCAGACTTTCTTTTGCTCCACTTTTGCAAAACCCCAGACTATCTTTTGCTCCACTTTTGCAAAACCCCAGAATTTCTTTTGCTCCACTTTTGCAAAACTCCAGACTTTCTTTTGCTCTGTCCGCAAAATGGGCAGACGTATCTATTTATTCCACCATTTAGACGAATTCAGACCTATCTGTTGTCCCCCCTCTGTCAAACCGCAGACCAATCATTATAACTAGAGGAAACACCAACCATTTAATTGTTATCAATGGCCGGCCGACCAAAGCGCCTCATTTATTTTCATGGGCTGGTCTGCCCAGACATCCCCACAGACTCAACCCTTGTCTGTGCACATGCCAGGCTTTATGTAAGATTCCCCTACTACATCCAGTCCACCAATAAAGTTTCTTGATCGAGTTGTTTGTGCTGATTAACTCAAATTATCGTTGGAGTACCGGCATGGCCGCCTGGGACATGGGGAGGCAACTACTGAATGTGGCCTGATGATGAGTGAGCTGCAAGGGTATTTTTTATTAAGTAGGATTTGTAGCATCTTAGTTGGAAAAGGACTAAGGACTCTAAATATACTTGTCCCTTGTCTTACATAATTGGCATTTTTTCTCAAATACATGTCGCTAGTCTTTTATACTTGCCTCTTGTCTCATAGACTTTTCTTACATACTTGTTGTTGTTTTTTTTTTGTTTTATATGCTAGTCTCTTGTCTTATATAATTTTCTTTTTTGTCTTATGTACTTGTCTTTTAGTCTTGTATTCGTGCCTCTTGTCTTTGTGAGATTGTCTCTTGTCTTTGTGAGATTGTCTCTTGACTTGTGTGATTGTATCTTCTTTTTTTTTTCTTCTTTTTTTCAGTAGTTTTTTATTAACAGAAGGGGTGGGCAATCTTTTTTGTAGAGGGCAATCTTCTAATTTCTAGGACTCAATGATTCTAGTGTCATTATACTCCAGCAAAGATTGCCTTAGGAAACTCCCTCTAGTTGAGTTCTGAAGTAATAATATGAATTTTTATAAATGTAACTCACTGTTATTATTGTTGTGCCAATTTAACATTTTTACACTGTGATTATTAATTTCCAGAGGATTTTACATATAATCATTCCCTATTGGTATATATAATTATTGTCAATTGGTCCATTTTATGAAACATTTAATCTTTTTCGGCGTAGCGTCTTGGGGGCCGTATTAAATGTGGACACGGTCCTTAGGTTGCCCACTCCTGATTTAGAGGCAACCAATCATCTTTCAGTTAAACAAAGGTGGATTGGAAACGTTTCTCACATTTAAAAAAAAAAAGAATTTCAAAAATTGTTACAGAAGAAATACAAGGCACTGTCTGATATTTGTATTGGTTTTACGTTGTCTTCACTTCACTTATCAGCCAAATGGTCATATGTCCCGAGCGACTTCACCTATAATTTTAATATGTGGTCTCTCAGTTTCTTTATGTGCCCATATACTTCATTACTTTTTAATGCCTGCGTAGAATTGTTGATGTGACGCCTGTCAATGGGTGTATTTCCTCATAGACGTAGTCAGTGGCAATAGCATGCCGGTTGCTGTATGCAGTGGCGTAGAAAAGGGATGGAGGAGGTGGTCCGCACGCTTGACACTTTTTTTATATATATTGAGAGTGCGTCATTACGACAAAAACAGCGTGGGGGGGGGGGGCGGGGAGGCACTAATCCTAGCTACGCCAACGGCCGTAAGTCTTCACAGACTTCGTTACTATACGAAACGCCTAATAACGTAGAAAAGGGATGGAGGAGGTGGTCCGCACGCTTGACACTTTTTTTATATATATTGAGAGTGCGTCATTACGACAAAAACAGCGTGGGGGGGGGGGGGCGGGGAGGCACTAATCCTAGCTACGCCAACGGCCGTAAGTCTTCACAGACTTCGTTACTATACGAAACGCCTAATGTTGATATGTTGTCTGTCAATGGCTTCATGTACTCACAAAACTCGTTACTACCAAAACCCTAATGTTCATACGTGGTCTGTCAACGGATGCACGTCCTCACAGACTTGGTTACTTCCAATATCGGAGTGGTTGCGTGAGACCTCCTCATCTTCATGTTCTTGTTTTCGCTCTCATCATCATGTCTCTGGCCAAAAGAGCCTGCCGCTGGCCGTGTTGACTTGAAACCAAAGAATAATAACCCCGTTGTGGGAGGCCACCTCTCTTGTTACTCGAGACAGACATCAAATGGGAAAACAACAGCGTTATTAGAACCTACTGCTCCGAGATGAAAAGACATGCTGGGAATATCCGGCCTTTTTGGCGAACGGTAGGGGGGGGGAGGGTATGGTGTGTGTGTGGGGGGGGGTTGAGGGGGGCTGGGATTTGGGGAGGGGAATATTAACTTATTTTTTATTTTATTTTTTTTATTTTTTTGCTTGCGCTTTGTTGTTATTAACAGAATTTTCCGGTTGGGGGTAAGTGTACAGGAAAGTGCTGCATTTAGCGATAACCCCCTGCCTCTTAAAAAGACAACCAAAGAGCATTGCTCTTTATAAGCTTCTCAGTTGACAAGCATCATGCGCTACTATAGTAAATATTTCTTCATTTTTTTTAAAAAATTCAATTCTGGAATAACATACGTATAAAAAAATATATTTTCTCGGTAGAATAATTGTTTGACTGTGCTGTTAATGAGTTTTTTAATGTATTAATAATGTATGCATGTGTGGTGATGGTCGGCGTTTGAGTTTGTAGTTACCATTATAGGTTGTTAAGATATATCAATTGTTGATACATTTTTTTTAAAAATTATTCTTTCAATACCTTGCAGGTTTATCTACTTTCGTGATAATTCTAACAACACAACGCTTATCCAAATCGCGTATGTTAAATGCGACGCAAAGCACACACAGTGGTCGTTTTCTCAACGCATTGAAAAAAAAGGGAACGCATCCACTGGATAGCACATTGCGGATGTTACTGAATTCATTTTTAATGAATATCATACGTATAAAAGGTCACGGGTCAATGAAAGTCTGTGTATGTGTTTGACGCAGTCTCCGGCATCAATGGAATTAAAGCAACGTAAAGATGTGTTGCTGTGGAATCAAACATAGGGAAGAGGACATTTGGCTGCGGGGTCCCTCTGGAGCTAAACATGTGATTTCTGGCGTGAGTGTAGGCTACTGATAAAACAGACATGAAGAGAAACAGCGCCAATGACACTACAGCTGAGGGCAGCACGCCGAATGCGGGTGCGCAAGGCGGGAAGATGGACGTGCGTGGTTGGGACGCATCAAGCCCTCCTGCGCCATCTGGCAACGGAGAGCTGGCTCCGGATAAACAAGGAGCAGTCGCACAAATTTTAGGAGAATGTGAAACATCCGGCGGCAGCGTAACTTCGGGGCCGCACCGGAGCTCCTCGCATTCCGCAAAAGACGTCATCAGTTTCGTTCACACCGGAAGTGACGTGACGGACGTCATCCGGTCCGGAATCGTCAGCAGAATTCTGGCATCCGTGAGTGGGCGAGAGGCGGACTACAGCTCGGCGGGCTTGGAGCTGCACAGCTCTCCGAGTCAACCACGATCGCCGTCACGCTTCAAGACATCGAGCCTACGAGCAAAGCCGGAGTTTGCCGATGTTGTTTTGGACACCATGAAAGAAAAACGGAAACTCCAAACTCAGAAGGTTTTTCCCAAGGCGAATCCGAAGTCTCAAAAATTTGACCTCGACTCGTCCGTCGGTGAAAGTTCAACATCCGCTGGGAGGGTGACCCGTGTCCACTCATCACCTCACAGCCAAAGCGCCACGACCACGTTAAGCGAGAACAGTCCATCGGCTGAACCAGTACGCGGCGCAGCAGAGGGTTACTGCAAGGAGACTCACATTTCTAAAGGCGCGAGCCTCTCAGGGGAGGAGCGGAAGTCGGAAAGGCTCACCTCCATTCATTTAGGATCAGGACAACGAAGTGACAGAAAACATTTAGGGAGGCATGTCACAACTTTGGATGTCAACAGCAAGACCAATAAAACAGTAGCGCACCCCGCGAAATCCCAGGTCAAACCTTTAAGGTCTGGCCATGTGTCGGGTGAAAGCGTCGTCCATACGCAGAGCTCCTCCTCGTCGGATAAGAAAAGGAACACATCCTCAGTGCGTGCAAAACAGAAACCCTCTTCAGAAATTCCCCAGAGCATGAGCACAGATTCCGGAATCGGCAGCCCCACGGACGTCACGGGGGGCGTCGAATTAATTGGCAACACCGAGGGCGTGGTGAATAGAATGGGGCGAGGGGAGACCCCCGAAGACTCTTCGTCCATGCAACTTGTCTCCCCTGTCCCATCTCATAAATCACCAAATTACCCCCCCTGCGGTGACCCGAGCGATTGTTACCCGTCTTCAAATTATCATTCCCTCCTCGCAGCTTCTGGTTGGTCGTCATTTCCAGGCACTCAACGCGGGGCAGACGACAGCAATTCTGGGGGTGTTGACCCTGTCGTCGATGATGTCACATCCGGGGTGTCTGGTCCCGGGGACTCGCTTCACCGCGATAATTGTGACAAATCCCAGCCTTTGGTAAACACAGACCTTCCTTGCTCGCGTCATCACAGCGACAGCTCTACAGTTGGTGCAAGCAGTGCGCCTGTCCATCCGCCCAATATCTCCTTGCAACCGGAAGTTAACGATATTCCTCCACCGTTCACTTCCCCCGAGTCAGGGACGACGTCGAGCAGAGACGCGACGCCAAATAACGACACTGACGCTCAGATAAACGGGATAAAAACTCACACTTCTCGCCGCTACTCTCGTCCCTCCATCACCGAGACCAACTTGGAGTTGGTGGCCGACTTGATCCACGACGATACCGTAGCCGGGTTCGCTGTCAACGCCTTTCTAAAAACCATATTAAACAATCAGACCCACGGTAATCGAATACACGGGAGTGAAGATTTGAATCCACAGACCGGATTAAACGCTGACAAGGTGAGTCACTTAAACGTTAGGTAAAAAAGTTCAGGGTTCGCATTCTTTTATTCTATATCACGTCAGAGATTTCAGATTGGTTTTAATCGCTGGCGCCTAAAGCATTTCATGCTGTAGTATTACATACAGACATTATTTCATTACAGACAATGCCCCCTAAGGGATATTTTATACCTAAAATTAAACTATTTTGTTTTCTGTTTGGCATAATAGTATTTTTCAATGCATAAAGATTTAGTTAATTAAAAACATGTCATCACTTATTGTATTCATTTGAATAATAAACGGTAATTTCCACTTTAAATTTCTTTAAAATTTTATTAAAATGCATAAAAGTAACTAAATTCTCTTTTTTTTTAAAAATATAATTTAATGACTAGGTCTTTCAAAACTTGATGTAGTTTAAATTTAAACTCTGTATGAATAAAACCTCAAGCCTAGAGCATGATTTCATAATGTAAATAAATTATATAATCTTCTTAGAATCTGCACCATCTTTCCAAGCAACGTGCACCACTCACTTCCCTCACACCACCGACCCCCCCCACCCACCAACCCACAGAAAAAGCCAACAAGCTAAGATCAAATATTTCTTTTACATATGGTTTATTTTACATGTAAATCATCCGTAGAGGTCAGTGAACGAATTGCTGCGCTGAAATGCGCTCGAGATAGAACAACAATTATCTAGAAAAAGCACAATTTTTTTATTTTATTTTTTTGTTGAGCTGGGCAACACGCTTATGATTTTAATGTCAACATATCAACTTTCACATGATGAAGTTGACTCAGGAGTAAATGTCGGGTGCAACGTGATTTTTGGCTTAATGTGCGTTCTAAAATAATGGTCAGTTACGACACTATGCTTTGACGTGGTGTGCATTCTAACACCATGTTTTTGGTGTTGTTTTTTTTGCGACACTATGCTTAGGCTTGTTGTGCATTCCAAACACCATGGTCTGGTGAGACCCAAGTTTTGAGATTTTTTTTTTTTGGCGGCCATCTTTTTTTTCGTTCCCTTTTCAAAAAAAAAAAAAAAAAAACCAACCCACGTACTTCGGATAAGTTGCACGGTGAACCATCAAATTCTGATAAATTAAAAGAATGAAATAGCGAAACGAGGTATGTGGACGCTTGAAATAAGATAACAGGACAAAAAACAAGGACGTTTGGGCATAAAGCCTTCCTCAGCCAACAATAGAAATATAACATTTATATGTTCATTTCATTTCTATTGTTGGCTGAGGAAGGCTTTATGCCGAGACGTCCTTGTTGTTTGTCCTGTTATCGTATTTCAAGCATCCACATACCTCTTTTCGCTATTTCATTCATTTACTAAGCTTGAAAGCAGTCCTTTCATTTATTTAAATTAAAAGAACCTTTCAGACTGTGTTCGTCATCAAAGCTCCTTAGCATTCCGCGATGATGGAAGCTGTTGAATATGATGTCATTTAAATCCAACTGTGTTTTCTTTAATTACACATTAAAAAAGGGTGTTAAATGTTAGTTTTTTTTTTAAAATAAACTTTCTGATTGCCTGCTTCTGTTCAGAACTTACTGGTTACAATAGGGTAGTTTGTTATTCTACACCTTGTATTAAAAATGGGAGTTTTAATGATGTAATATAAATGCTAATGTTAGTTCCAATCAAGTGGGGGGGGGGGGTTACATTAATGGGTTATCTCTCATCGTTTTGGGGGAAAAAAGGTGGGGGGTATATGTGTGGAGGCACGGAGGGTCGGGGTAGTACCAAAGATGACGTTTTAATAGGGTAGTTTGTTATTCTACACCTTGTATTAAAAATGGGAGTTTTAATGATGTAATATAAATGCTAATGTTAGTTCCAATCAAGTGGGGGGGGGGGGTTACATTAATGTGTTATCTCTCATCGTTTTGGGGGAAAAAAGGTGGTGGGTATATGTGTGGAGGCACGGAGGGTCGGGGTAGTACCAAAGATGACGTTTTAATTCTGGATTGATAGAAGTGTTCTAACGACCAACTTGATTGTTAATAGAAGAATATCCTTTGGCATTTAGCTTTATTTGTCATGGAATTAAACTTTAATATAATCTTTACTATTTATGGTTAGAAGACTTCTTTAGCCGGCATTGATCAAAGTTGTCGTACCTATCAAAAGAATATGCCGATTAATACTCGTTCCAAACACTGCGAAATAATATTATTAAAATTTTTCCACATATCTTAAATAAATAAATCCATTTATTAAAATGCACGTTGCTAATCTCCGATGCGGGAAAGATCCACAGTTTAGCCACATGTGGTTGAAGTTTTTGGGTGTTTGTTTTTCTATCCCTTGCATCAATGACGGGCAAGTGGAAGAAATAGTTTTAGAACAGTCCTATGCATCTTAAACATGAGACGTGTGTTGATCTTCCCTGTGCACTGCATCAGAAAAAAAGACATCTAGGATATATACTAAAGCACACGTATTTAGTCGTGTGTGTGTGTGTGTGTGCGTGTGTGTGTATGTGTGTGTGTGTGTGTGTGTGTGTGCGTGTGTGTGCGTGTGTAGTCAGTAGTTGACACGTGTTCTTGGTCGCGTGTTTTCAAGTGTATTGAGTGTTGTGTATGCACGAGCGTTTGGTTAACACGAAACAGCCAACAGGTGACAATAGATTAAATGTTATTTTTCCTTCAGACCACCGATTCGGTGGATCAGGTTGAAGACGGTGGACCAGACTGGAGGGTTGAATTTCACCCCGAGGCCACGGGCGTGGATAAAATTGCCCCGGAGAAGCCTGTTAGAAAATGTCCAACATTACGAGACGTAAGTAGAACAACTTAGGAATCTTACTCCTTGTTTATAGATTTTTCTTTATTTTAATTATTTTAGTCCTTAAAAACTCAAAAGATCGCTGTTCAGCCGTCACACGCGAAGTTGACCAAGTAGCAGCCTTGACTTTAGTAGTAGCCTTGGCTTGAGTAGCATCCTTGACTAAGTTAGTAGCCTTGACTTGAGTAGTAGCCTTGACTTGAGTAGTAGCCTTGACTTGAGTAATAGCCTTGACTTGAGTAGCAGCCTTGACTTGAGTAGCAGCCTTGACTTGAGTAGTAGCCTTGGCTTGAGTAGTAGCCTTGACCTCAGTAGCAGCCTTGACTTGGGTAGTAGCCTTGGCTTGATTATTGGCTTTGACTTGGGTAGTAGCCTTGACTTGGGTAGTAGCCTTGGCTTGAGTAGTAGCCTTGACTTGAGTATCAGCCGTGACTTTGGTAGTAGCCTTGGCTAAGTAGCCGCCTTGACTTGAGTAGTAGCTTTGACGTGAGTAGTAGCCTGTACTTGAGTAGTAGCCTGTACTTGAGTAGTAGCCTGTACTTGAGTAGTAGCCTAGAGCAGTAGCCTTGACTTGATAGGTAGCCTTTACTTGAGTAGCAGCCTTGATTTGAGTAGCAGCCTTGACTTGAGTAGTAGCCTTGACGTGAGCTGTATTTTGTTTAAAGTGAGTGAGAGTTGCATAGCTCGCCAGCCTCACTCTTGGTTTGTTTGATCCAATGGGGTGCTCGTGATTATTTTTTTGCTTGCTCGTTTTCTTGGGGTTAACCTCCAGTCCACTGGCTTGGGATACACTCAGTTTAGACCGCTAGGCCACCAAGTGTCAAGCTGGCTGACACTAAAATATCTCTCAAATAGTATTGTATTAGCCTTTTGGACCGCAAACAGGATTACAAAACCCAGAACTATTCATGCTTGACATCAAACATGGAAGCCATAAATGGAACAATGCACCTCCCCACCCCTTGACAGAAAATGGTCAGTTGGGGCGAAATGACACAAACCCCTCCCCCCCCCCAACCCTCTTCTTGCACCAGTGTATCCTTGGGAATCCACAAGGTTTAATCTGTTATAATACTGCTCTAAATAAGTGTCAGTAAATCATCTGTGACCATTTCGGACAATGCTCGGTCTGAAATATCTCCAAAATGGATTAAGCCTGGGAAAATTAACTTTGGTATATAGGTAATTAAACACATAATTCTCTCTGGTAAAATGTTAAAATATTATGGAAATGTATTTATTTTAAGTATTTTGTTTCGCTTGCTTTCAACATATAAAATGCTGTTAGCCGTGTTTTTCTTTGTGATCGAACCCCCCCCCCCCTTTCCCTTCATTCTCTCTGGTAAAATGTTAAAATATTATGGAAATGTATTTATTTTAAGTATTTTTTTTCGCTTGCTTTCAACATATAAAATGCTGTTAGCCGTGTTTTTCTTTGTGATCGAACCCCCCCCCCCTTTCCCCTCACACATCCCACTTTACAAAAAATAATTCATTTAGTTACTGCGTATTTAACCCACAATCGCTTTAAATAAAAAAAATGAAAGCCACATTAATATTTAGCGAAATATTTTTTTTTAAAATATTTGTAAAAACTAAAGCACAGACGTCGCTCGACTTTTCGAGGCCCCCTTTGCCACTTTTTGGTTTAGTTCTCACCCACATTGCATTAAATATCATAACTCTGTAAAACATCGCAGCCCCACTGCAGCCCTAGGGGTTGCTGGGCTCACGCCATGTTTTATGGTTAAGTGACACTGACATTATTTAAAACAGGCGTCTCTTCCTTTCGTTGATCTCCAATTACGTGTAGAATTTTGCAAAGCTAAACAAAAATATTTACTAAAATGCCTTCTTGTATTATGAATGTATCAAACATTTTTTGGGGATCATGAAAATTTAAGAGGCGTTAATCAGCTATGGAAAATGCATACCCTCAAGGGCGCCACATACGGAATGAATTTAGTTCATGTCCACCTGGTGCGGCGTTAAAAATGTCTTTGATCATTATTATGTGGCTAATTTTGGTGCTTCCCACTGGAAAATGTGGAATGTCACCTCAAAATTAACTAAAAGACACACCAAATTCAAGTATGCACCAAAACTACACCCTTGGATTTTGAATTTGTGCGACTGTCTTCAGCACCCTCAATTTATTCACCCCATTCCCTCACTCTAACCAATGTTACAGTATGAATTGGAATATAAGCTTGTTCCAAAAGATTACCCTGGGTTAGCCACAACTTGGGTTAAATTCAATTTATGTATGGCACTGGCACCAAAGTGCCTCCCCAGCAATGGTCCCTCTAAGGTTTGTTGGTTCGTGTGCAAAATCATACAGTTGTGTGCAAAGTTTTACAGCTTCAATTTTTTTGTGCGCAAAATTTTACAGCCCACTCAGTTAAATGGAAATTTGCTGCGCAGCTTAAAGGGAACATTGCTCCCCAGACCTTTAAAAATTACTTTCCCTGCAAAAAAAGAATAGAAACATTGAATTCGACTATACTCCAAAGAACATCTCTTGATTTTGAAATAATAAGAAAAATTCTTGGAAATAGGCTCCCCAGTCCTCTCTACAGCTCAAGATTGATCTTACTTATGCCTTTTACCCGTCTGAGGCATAGGCCATTTACCAACAATGTTCCATTCATCTAAGTCATGTGCTTTCCTTTTCAGTTGCTTCCAGTTGTATCCCACACTTTGTGTGTCTGCCTCTAGCTCACGTCCCCATGAATTTTTAAGGCCTCCTTTCTTTCTTTTTTCCCGGTGGATTTCATGTAAGGGATTGTCTGGTGATGTTATCTGGGGTTTTCGGAGAGTGTGTCATGTCCACCTTCATTTTTTTCCTTTAAGTCTTATTCAATAAATTCCTCGTATGTCCTTTCCAGTATGTCTTTGTTGGTGATGATGTTTAGCCATTTGATGTTCAGGATCTTTCTAAGTTAAGTGTTCACGAAAGTCTGTATTTTCGCGTAATTCTCGCTGTTGTTCTCCAAGTTGCAGCTCCATAGTAGAGCACGCCTATAAAACTCAAAATTTAAGGTGGGCCGTAATACTTTACGAAAAACTTTTGTGGGCCGAAGGAAAATAGGACAGGGGGGGGGGGGAAACCATTAAGAAAATAATAATAAAAAAGAATGTTTCGTTACTTCGTGGGTTGCAAATTGGGTGCATGTTAGACCGAAAGAAAATAGGACAGGGGGGGAAACCATTAAGAAAATAATAATAAACAAGAATGTTTCGTTACTTCGCGGGTTGCAAATTGGGTGCATGTTGTGCAGGCCTGCCATAGAATAGGACTGTTTTGACATTTGATTTGAGATGTCTGACTTTTTATTGAAGAATCAGCTCCTTTGACTTCATATTTTTTTTTTTTTGTTAGCACAAATGCTTACCTAGCCTTTCCAATTCTAGACCTGATTTTTTGTGATATTTGTATTGATTTTATTGATATAAATGAACTGAAGATTTATCTGCGACCTCGATTTCTATCCTACACACCGATGAAAATGGCTGCTAACTTTGGTGACGATAGATAGTGACGAAGCTAGTATTAGTTCTATCATAGGCAGCCACATATTTTAGCCGCTCTTCCTTTCACGATACAAACTCTGCATTTGTCCAAAAATGACGCATATCCATATAAAGAAAGAGTGAAACCTGAGTGAACAACCTCATTCTCCCCTTTCTATGGCACCGGCAGGGGCGTAACTAGAGTGTTGTGCTTCAGGGGACACGATTCATTTTACCCCCCACCCCCTACAACTCTGACACAAATTATTTTCATCTATTTAATACTATCAAATCATATTTTGGTGCCCCTGCTCGTCTGCACCCCGGGGACGTATGTTCCATTAGACACCCTTTAGATACGCCTTTAGACACTGCCCACTGGCAATTGGCTCTGCCCCCCCTCCCCGAAAATCTGAAATGCCCCCTGGGTGTCTAAATGAAACACGGATTATGTCCAATGATGTGCTGGTCTTTTATACCACGTAATTACAACCAATGAAGTGCTGGCTGGTCTGTCTCATAAAATTGTGGAGCTCAACACACACAAAAAAAGAATATCAAAGTTATTTTACAAATTTTAAAGGTACAAAAGGACTTTGTCTTAAGGTGTTTGCTTTTTAGAAATGTCTGCTCTTCTTTCCACCACTTTTGACTGATGAAAACGAATCGTAGTTGTATAATCTGCAACGTGTGCACGTCTCATCAGGTCAACTTGCGTGAAGTGATCTCGCTGACAGAAGAGTCTCCCAGTACGGACCGGAAACTGAAAGGCATCCTTAAGTCCACCAGCGTACCCACCTTGTCTAGCACCAGAGAGGTCAACACTGTTAGAAACGGGGCGGTCAGACCAGACTTAGTCAACTCACGTAGTGTGTCATTCAACAAACTCCACACCAAGGTGAGACTATTCTCAGCAAGTATCTTAAGTGTCTTCTAAAGAAATTAAAATTTCTCACTGATACGTATTTAACATGATTAAAAAGGATTCACTTAAATTTGAATGTTATGTCTGTTTATAAGAAATTATGTATAATGGGCTAATAGAAATAAATGTATGTGAATAAAGCAGCAACGTATGTGAACAAACAGACTATATATTTATGTGCTCATGAAAGCAATGTATGTGGACAAACAGATTATATATATGTGTGTACATAAATGTGTTCATGGAAGAAACATATGGGTCCCAAGAAACATATTCTACTCGAAAAAGAACTATTTTGTTCTCCGTGGTTATCAATTAAGTTATGTAGTTTGATGGTTTCACACAGACATGGCGGTCTTATATTGACCTTTTGTTAAATATCTGCTCTGGTTATAACATGGGTTACGTGTATTTCCTTTGAGACAAATTTCATATTCCGATATGATATAGGAATTTCAAAGGAAGATCTAGTCTGAGCACGATGGTTTATATAAGAACACCCCCACACCCTTTGTTTCGTACAGTTTTGATTTATAAATTGAATTACATTTGAAGAATGTAAGCACAAACAACTCATAAAATTATCAAATAAAAGTCTACTAAGAGAAATAATATTTTGTTTTTACAGCTAGGTTTTCTAATTCAAATTCTGACCAATGAAATTGTTGTAAACTTAAAATTCTAACCAAAATTCTAAAATTCTAATTCAAAATCAGACCAATGAAATGGTTGTCCACTTCAAATTCTGACCAATGAAATGGTTGTCCACTTTAAATTCCGACTAATGAAATGAGAGCACACACACACAAAAAAAACACGCACACTCACAAAACTTCACAGAAATAAATTTGTCCAATTAATTATTTTCATTGAGAGCTTCTGAACTTTTTCATTGATAAATTCATTAGCAAATGGGGGATAATTAAAAATCAATATCAGATCTGATCTTTATGCCGTCCGTCTTGCAGATCAATGCTCGGCTGTGTGCACCAATATCTTCAATTGCTCTGTGCTTGATTTTCTTTTTGCATTGGATTTTTGTGTGAGAGCAATTTTTTTAAATTTATTTAATTCTCTTAACACTTGAAATAGATTTGATTCATTTTGGCTCTTAGAGCGCCATTTTTGCCCATTCTAAACAGTACGTGACCGGCATTTTCCAATTTTTTTTAAAGATATAATATTGTTTTGTATGCATGTAAACTGATTTAATAACATGTGCTACTGTAACAACAAATGAATAATACGGAATAAACAAATCTCCTGTCGTCATAAAGTATAAAATTGCTAATGTGTATAAAATAGGAAGCATTTTGATAGAGAGTACTGTATATACTGTATATTTATTTAAATCTCTTAACACTTGAAATGGATTTGATTCATTTTGGCTCTTAGCGTTCCATTTTTGCCGATTCTAAACAGTACGTGACCGGCATTTTCCAAATTTTTTTAAAAGATATAATATTGTTTTGTATGCATGTAAACTGTTTTATAACAGGTGCTACTGTAACAACAAATGAATAATACGGAATAAACAAATTTCCTGTCGTCATAAAGTAGAAAATTGCTAATGTGTATAAAATAGGAAGCATTTTGATAGAGAGTACTGTATATACTGGCGCATAGGTTACAACATGTAATGGATAAGTTACAACTGGCAGTGGATAGGACCCACCATGCAGTGGATAGGTCACACAATGCAGTGGATGGGCCAAGCCATGCAGTGGATATGTCACGCCATGCATTGGATGGGTCACGCCATGGGGTGGTTAGGTCACAGCATGCAGTGGATGGGTCACAGCATGCAGTGGTTAGGTCACACCATAAAGTGGATAGGTCACACCATAAAGTGGATAGGTCACACCATGCAGTGGATGGGTCACATCATGCAGTGGATGGGTCACACCATGCAGTGGTTAGGTCACGCCATGAAGTGGATTTGTCACACCATGCAGTGGATGGGTCACAGCATGCTGTGGATAGGTCACACCATAAAGTGGATAGGTCACACTATGCAGTGGATAGGTCACACCATGCAGTGGATGGGCCACACCATGCAGTGGCTAGGTCATGCCATGAAGTGGATTTGTCACACCATGCAGTGGATGGGTCACAGCATGCTGTGGATAGGTCACACGATGCAGTGGATAGGTCACACCATAAAGTTGATAGGTCACATCATGCAGTGGATAGGTCACACCATGCAGTGGATAGGTCACACCATGCAGTGGATAGGTCACACCATGCAGGGAATGGGTCACAGCATTTAAGTGGATACGTCACACCATGCAGTGGATAGGTCACACCATGCAGTGGTTGGGTCACACCATGCAGTGGATAGGTCACACCATGCAGTGGATGGGTCACAGCATGCAGTAAATAAGTCACACCTTTTAGATGGGTTTGTCAAAGTGGATATTAGCGGTTGGACAGTTAAATGGCCCTTATTTCACGTAAATATAACTATAATATTTGTTCAACATAAGTATACAAAATATTTCCATATCAACTCAAAAACTGAAAGTCAATCGTCGTCATAAACAGCATCATCTTTGATAAACATTTATTTTTTAAACTGATTGCCCTCTGCTCTGTTTAATTGTCAGCTTCCATAATGGGACCCGCTTGAGATCCCTGTGTTGTTTAGTACATAGGTCGCTCCCTTGATTTCATCTAATGTTTTGGTTTTTCAAAAAAAAACAAAGTGTCATCTATTCGCAAGTGTAAACAGAATATGACGTTATTTTTTTTTTTATATAAAAATGACAACAAGCTCAATTTATCCCAAAAACCTTTCCCAAACTAATTAACATTATATCCTATATAATGTTACACTTCAATACTAACCAATCTTCCATTATACAGCAGTATGCTGCACGTTTGCAAATGACCTTCTGTCCACGACCTTCTGTCCAGCATACTTTCCATGACCTTCTGTCCAGCATACTTTCCATGACCTTCTGTCCAGCATACTTTCCACGACCTTCTGTCCAGCATACTTTGCACCCACCTTCTCTCCAGCATACTTTCCACGACCTTCTGTCCAGCATACTTTGCACCCACCTTCTCTCCAGCATACTTTCCACGACCTTCTGTCCAGCATACTTTGCACCCACCTTCTCTCAAGCATACTTTCCACGAACTTCTGTCCAGCATACTTAGCACACTGTCTCCGAACTTAAAGTTTCCTAGTGCTTGACTAAACTTGTCTTTTAACTTTATGTTGCTGTGTCATTACAATGTAATGTATCGCAAAAATATCCTTTCGAATTTTCAGGGCAATCTAATGCAATGATCACGTTCCCAGTATCTCCAGCGCATTAAACAGACAGAGCAGCAATACTATCATTTTATCAGTTTATCAGAGGGAAGACTTTATGGCGCTATTTCTAAAAAAAACTGTTTAAATGAGAACATAATATTTTGAAATATCTGAAGAAATAATAAGTAGAAGAACGAATAAACAGAAGAAGTGGTAGTTAGAAGAAAGAACAGTTCTCAAAAAGATAATTTCGATCGCTTTTTTTAAATTTTTTGGTTTTGTTTTGTGCAGTTACCATGGGGATGTTGTGTGTAATGTAATGTACGTGTGGTTCTTCGGCATAGACCGGCAAGGGTTAACTGATCAGCGCTAAACGCTCACTGAACGCGGACTTCACCACTGGCATTCCCATAAACAGTTACACCAGAAATAAATAGCAAATGCTTCAAAGTGCCTCAGTGCAACACAGTGCAGTATCAAGAATCTTTCTTCCCACGCACAATTATACCATGGAACCACCTGAACGATGCCACTATGAACTCGACATCGGTCGAAAGCTTCAAGGCTGCCCTGGCATCAGCTATGAGCTGTTAGAATAGCAACATCATATCCCCAACCGTTGCAAAGATGCCAGTACATGGATGCAGCAACGAAACATTACCAGAACCAGAACCAGAACCTATAAACTATTAGACATGATCGCTGTACAAACTATTTCACAGTTCGTCATAGCAAGCTTTTGGTTTTTTTGTTTAACACAAATTTAAATAGTCGTAGAGAAAAGGAGCGCTGGGAATTTTGTTTCTATCTTCAAAAAGTGTCCGTGAATTTTTCTTGAACATTTTAGAGGAGGTGGGGCTGGGTGGTGTTAGTGGAGTGAAATCAATAAAAAGCTGGGTGGTGGCTACTGTGGGGTAAATTCTTCCGTAGCTAAATTTGCTTTATTTTATTTTTTAATAAAGTTATGCCCGGGATGAACCACTGCCTCCGCAAGGCACTTTCCTACGGGATGGTCAGCAGGGCCGCCTGAACATCAGCTGGGTCCCTGTGCAAAGGAATTTAACGGGCCACCTACGCAAGTAATTTTAGGGATTAAAGTATACATATTTAAACATTTTGGCCCCTGAGAAGGGCCGAGGTGCAATGCATGTGCAACTGATGAGAAAGAGTCTAACTCCCTGGGCAGTGGCTGGGTGTAATGCGTGTGTGACTGATGACATAGAGCCTAACGCCCCTAGGCAGTGCCCAGGTGTAATGCATGTGGAACTAATGACATAGAGTCTAGAGTATATTGCCCTGCCACCACATTAAAGAATGCGTTATCTTACATTGGAACAAATGCGTTTCTTGTTTTTTCTTCTTTCCTTTTTCAATAACTATAACTATAGTCTCGTTTACAAGTTAAACTCACGTTTGTGAAACTGTTAATTTGCATGTCATTAAAACGTCAAGAAGACGAGACAGCCACCGCTCAATCCCCGTGATTACAGACGATGATACTTGTAAATGTTCCACTCGTCTACTTCCCTTCATGACATTCCCAAATGTCGATGCCCAATCAATGAACCCGATGACCTGCAGACATTCGATCACCATCAAATACCTCACGTGACGTAATCGGATGCGCAACACTCCACGCCTCACTACTCACACGAGTTATCTTCTCATCAGGCCCCCCATAACGTGATACGCGGGTCACGTGTTTTAAAATCTACGTCACATGGGCTGCGTGTGTTAAACTCTCTGTTACACGAGTCACGTGTGTTAAACTCTAGGATACATGTCCAACGCATGTTAACATCTATGTCACGTGGGTCTGCCAACTAATTTGGCATGCTCAGACTCATTGATGTCAGATTTTCAACATTGGCTTCTAATCACGTGATATTATAGTCATTATATGCTCCTCTCTGGTTCTGTGTGTGTGTGTGTGCGAACCTCTGTCCTGGACCAGACCGTCTGGTAGAGGCGTAGCGACAGTGTTTGGCGCCCGGGGACAAGATTCGCGCCCAGGGACAAGGTTCATTTTAAAGCGCCCCCTTTTCTTTTTGCATCTCTCAAACCCGTTATTTTGATCAATAAAATAATATCAAAGCACATTTTGGCACCCCTAACTAGCTGGCGCCCGGGGACAAGATTTGCACCCAGGGACAAGGTACATTTAAAGCGCCCCCTTTTCTTTTTTCATCTCTCCAACCCATTATTTTTATCAATAAAATAATATCAAAGCACATTTTGGCGCCCCTAACTAGCTGGCGCCCTGTGACATCTGTCCCCCCTCCCTTCACTACGCCTCTGCCGTCCGGTACCGTAGACCCATGTATAGTTACAAAACCCCGCAGTCTAGCTTGTATCACGTGTGTGCTCCTCCGTCCTGCCTGGACTGCATTGACCTGCGTTTGGCTGATTCAACCCTCTTAACTCGTATTGATGTCCCTATAAAGCTTTTTTTTCAAATTACATTTAGATCGATTTCTCTAGATGACCGCCGGCTCCACCACCTACACGCTTACCCTCCCCCAACTACCTACACTCATCCACGCACGCGCGCAACATCACCCCCTTCATGCACGCCGTAATGTATTTTTGATTTCAACTCGTGATGGCGATCTCAGATTAAGATTCGATTACTTCAGTGCAAACATGTCCAAACGTGCGATACTTGGTGCAAGATATTTCCGTTGGTCAAGAATCGATTACTTCGGTACAAAGATGACCGAATTGATATTATTTGATGGGCTAGTTAATTCAATTGGACAAGATTCGATCTCTTCAATAACAAACTTAACCCAAAAAAACAACTTTGAGAGGTTGTTTTTTGTTTTTGTTTTTTTTTAAGCTCTTACTTGAGTAGAATAAGATTCGAATACTTCAATGAAAACATGACCAATCGTAGTAATCTTCTGGTAGCTAATGCAGTAGGACTTTGGAACATATGTCAGACTGGAGATATTTATGGGTAGGTCTCTACACAGTAAATGTCTCATTGCCTCTAGGATTGCGAGAATTCCTGCTGTTAAAAAAAACAACATACATGTCTGCATACGTGCGGCGAGCCATCCTCTACTTACAACATGCGAACATCAATGACCGCACTTACTTTTGATTCTCCCCGGCAACGTTTCTATTTCCATATGACTTGATGACTCAGCATAATATTCACGGATCGATACGCAGACGTAAACCAGATATCATACATTCTTAAACGCGCCGTGTTTTATTTTCAAAGAAAGTGTAGGCCGGTGTCATGTGTTCAATTAAAGTAGGCCTAAATCAACGCTTTTATGCCACGGCTCACCAAATTCTTGAACTATCTAAATTATGTTTACTGCAGACATTTATAATCAAGGTGTGTGCCTTATCAAGGTTTATCAAGGTTTATCAAGGTTTATCAAGGTTTATCAAGGTTTATCAAGGTTTATCAAGGTTTATCAAGGTTTATCAAGGTTTATGCCTTAACAAAGTTTATGCTTTATCAAGATTTGTACTTCAATAAGATTAAAGCTGTATCAAGGTTTATACTTTATCAAGGTTTGTACTTTATCAAGGTTTATGATTGATCAAGGTTTATACTTTATCAAGGTTTATACTTATCAAGGTTTATACTTATCAAGGTTTATGATTTATCAAGGTTTATGATTGATCAAGGTTTATGCTTTATCAAGGTTTATGCTTTATCAAGGTTTATACTTATCAAGGTTTATACTTATCAAGGTTTATACTTATCAAGGTTTATGATTTATCAAGGTTTATACTTATCAAGGTTTATGATTTATCAAGGTTTATGCTTTATCAAGGTTTATACTTATTAAGTTTTGTACTTTATCAAGGTTATTTATTTATCGAGGTTTATAATTTATCAAGGTTTATGATTTATCAAGGTTTATCCTTGATCAAGTTTTATACATTATCAAGGTGCATACTTATCAAGGTTCATGATTGAGGAAGTTTTATGTTTTATCAAGGTTTATACCTTATCAAAGTTAATATTTTATCAAGGTTTATGATTGATCAAGGTTTGTGCTTGATCAAGGTTTATACTTGATCAAGGTTTATACTTTATCAAAGTTTATACTTATCAAGGTTTATGATTGATCAAGTTGTATGCTTTATCTAGGTTTATACCTTATCAAGCTTAATACTTTATCAAGGTTTATGCTTTATCAAGGTTTATCAAAATGTATGCTTTCTCGTAGTCTTTATCAAGGTTTATGCTTTATCAAGGTTTATCAAAATGTATGCTTTCTCGTATTCTATGCTCTATCAAGTTTTATGCTTTATGCTTGTGCTTTAGGTTTGTGCTTTAACGAAGTTTGTTGAAACCCTATCTAAGTCAGATTTCATTGAAATATATTATGTTCAGTATTAAATGTTACGCATATTCCAAGTCAGTTTTGAAACCTGACTTTCATTCTTTATGACTTGGAGCACATCTAAGTCACGGCTTAGTGAAGTCGCGCCTTGAATTCCTCTCCTGTTCAGTGCCGACAACTCTTGGTCCTTTTGCATTCCCCAGAACACGTTCAGTTACTACAACGCAGCCTTTGAAGGGGAGATAATCACCGAGCCGAGCAAACGACCCAGTCTCGCCGATGTTGTTAGTAAGTTGCAACAGTTGTCGTCCCCGTATAAATTTATGATAATGAGCATTGCTTTTCATCTGTTTAACCATGAGACTTAAAACAAAACAAAAAACAAAAAATATATTGTAGCCATTGTTATTCTCCGTGTCCTCAATGAACAATTCGTTTGGATTTCACGAGATGCTATTGCCTTATGCCTTAAAAAGTGCCCCAGTCTACAGAGTGGCGTAGCTAAGTTTCGAGCCTCTAAGGGTGGGCCATGACTTTTTTTGGTGTGGCCAAGGAGCTTAAGGCCAAGCTAAAATCATCACCAGCCTTTTATGCATGAAAAAGAATCTGCAGTTGGCTGAAGCTGCCACCCTTCAATATATAGAAATAAAATACCGCGAGAGAGGACCGGGCCTCAGCACCCACCTTCCACCCCCTCCTATTTAGTTCATATGAGTTGCTTCAGCTAAAATTTACATTTACTTGAGTCCATATGTTTTAATAGGGAGCTCGACTGCCTTTAAGTATTTGTAAATCTCCAATTTAAGGGGCTCTTAACATGTTTAAAGTAATAGAAACTCGTTCTAGCCCTCCTACATAATGCAGTGATATTTTTTAAATATCTATTTTATTCTCTATACAAAAAAGGAGGGCTTATTCGCGAACAGCCTTGACCCTTGGTTCTGAGTAAAAACATGGTTATTGAGAATCAGAATTTAATCAAATTTGAACTCAGTGATAAGCCTCACAAATATTTGTTTGTTGTTCTCCAGTCTGGTAAAGTACATTTTTTTTCGCCTCCGCCTGTAAAGGTCACATCATGAGGCAAGGCTCCATCGTTGAGATGGAAGATGACAACAGCCACCCTTACGGCCGGGACACCAGCCTGACGGATCTCATCACCGGGAAGCGGAGGGACAGCTACAACATGGACGCCGGCAAGATGATCGTTTGGCTGGTCTTGGCCATCATGATCGTCAGTTTGGCTGGCGGGATCATTTTCATGTCAGGTTAGTTTGGCCGGTGGGGGTCATTTTCATGTCATTTCTGTTTGGTTGGTGTGGGGGGGGGGGTCAATTTCATGTCAGGTGAATTTAGCGAATGTTATCATTTTCATATCAGGTGAAGTTGAGTCATCGTATTATTTTTAATGTTGGTTTGATTTTGGCTGGTTTACTTATTTTAGGGGTGTCATGTTAGTCCTAGTCTAGTCGGTTTGTCTTGTTTATAACATTATAGTCTAATAACCAATTTCGCTGCATTTCAGCATCACTGTGTTCAGTCCCGCTATATTAGGCCAGTGTTGTTTAGCTGGTAAAATCTTTCTTCTTGCCATTCAGCTCGGTTTATTAATTAAATTTATTTTTTCTCTCTGATTTTTCGTTGAATACTTCACATGGAGCTTCCATCTTGTTTATGAAAAGTAAAGTAAAGCAAAAATATTAGACTTTAAAACCAACCAGCGTATGTTGTCGGATTGTTACATATTTCTATTTTGAGCCTTTGAAAATTCCTGATTCCTTCTATTCAATATATCACCCATGAAAAGACACATAGCTTGTACCGGTATTTGATAATTTATTTTTCAGTTTCCTGGATTTTAAGATAATTAATTTTTTAAGTGTCAATATTTAGTTATTCTATAACATGCTAAGCTTTGAACTGTCAAAAATATCCGTCATTTTGAGAACCACTGCATTATAAAAAAAAAAAAAACACACAAAAAAACAATATCTTCACTTTTGTGACAGCGAATGACACCTTGGGCCCTTGCGCAGGTAAAACTAAGGAGACACTGCTGTCAGATAATAGAAAAACAATCGCATTCTTATCACTGGGTCTAAAGGGCAAACTCTGAGGTTGGGCATGGATAGTGTGGAACGGGTTGGACTAGGTGTGGAAGGGGTTGGGCTAGGTGTGGAAGGGGTTGGGATAGGTGTGGAAAGGGTTGGGATAGGTGTGGAAGGGATTGGTTTAGGTGTGGAAGGGGTTGGGCTAGGTGTGGAAGGGGTTGGGATAGGTATGAAAGAGGTTGGGTTAGGTGTGGAAGGGGTTTGGCTAGATGTGGAAGGGGTTGGGCTAGGTGTGGAAGGGGTTGGGCTAGGTGTGGAAGGGGTTTGGCTAGGTGTGGAAAGGGTTAGGCTAGGTGTGGAAGGTTATGGGTTAGGTGTGGAAGGGGTTGGGATAGGTATGGAAGGGGTTGGGCTAGGTGTGGAAAGGGTTAGGCTAGGTGTGGAAGGTGTTTGGTTAGGTGTGGAAGGGGTTGCGCTAGGTGTGGAAAGGGTTAGGCTAGGCGTGGCTAAGGAGCTTAAAGCCAAGCTGAAATTATGACCAGCCTTATGCATGGCTGATATTTATGATAATTATTTACAAGTATCATAATTATTAGGAAAGATTAAATTTAATTTCAACATCTAAGCTGATTTTTCAAATCATTCCTTAAACTTGGTTCATGAACAATAAGACCATAAACTTTTCCCATGAACTTTGTTTGTCAGGGCCATAACCATACAATTCCTTTCATGTGCCATAGTTGTGGCATGATGAGTTGTTAGTTTATTTATGATTGATCAAGGATAGGGAACTTTTTTCTTGGTTGAGATTGAGGTGTTAGAAGTATTTTAAATGATTCAATGATGAATCTGTTAATACTTAGATGAAACTCAAATTTTGTTGTCTTTTCAGAAACTTATAACATGAACCATAAAAATGATGATATCTCAACAACGGTTGAAACAACAACACTGACAAGGTTGTACAGATGATTGTGTGCGACATCTGGTGATGATCCTATCCAAATTGTAAAGTTGATTTATGCTCTTACAAAAGAAGAAAAAAAAAAAACTCTATCAGTGGGGCCAATCTGATTTGTCAAAAGAGAATGTCAAGGTAATGACATTGATGCAAAAAGGCTGTCTTCTGGATGTGGCAGCCATGACAGAATGGTGGCTGGATTTTTTTCAAGTCCCTGAAATCTGACAGCTTCAAAGTGTTGACATAATATGGGTGATCTGTTGGTGCAGTGACACCACAGTGTGTCCTAGGCTCTGACTAGTGATGAAGCTGAGGATGGTCACACTCAACAGGTTCATCAATGGACCAACCATGTTATACCAAAGACATTGCTTAAAGTTGTTAAAGAACACAATTTTGTTGCAAGTAGGAAACAGTTTCGATTGTTCACAATAATATAACTATTTAAAATACAAAAAATGATCCATCTCATGTGAGTGACAGATGATTTATTTATTGCCTGCCAGGATATTGTTACAATAATTATTGTTCATGTTAAACTTTGATGTGCTAAGGAAGGATAAACCAGTGATCCCTTTTGTTATTAAAGGGCAATAACCAGTGATAAATTCATTGATATGAAGTTGTTTTTTTTGTGGGTTTTTTTCAAATTTAAATAGTATATGTATACTTGTAATCAGACTTGTATGAAATAGTAAATGTGTAAACTTGTCATAGGACATTGTATGAAATAGTAAATGTGTAAACTTATTTGTTCCACTAGCACACATCTTAGCAGAGCATCTTAGTAAATGTTATGTCAACAACACATGAGAGTAGCTAAGTTTACTTTCAATGAAGAGAACATGCAGTTTCCAGCCCAGCACTTGGCTATGAGGTGAATTACAGCCTGCATGTGATACAAGGTTTTAAGTTGCACTGAAATATGGTGGTGTTTTTTTTTAATCATCCGTCCTCATTGTAAAACATAAACATACTAACACTGATTTGATGTTCACTGATATGAACAAACTTTGTTTGATTATGAAGCATATGGCACTAAAACACTAGGAGACGCTGTTTGGGTTTTCTGTTTGTTGAATAACTAAAGTTATTAAACATAATGTAATAAAGTTTTATCAACTTTAACTACTAGTTGGTTAGCGACTGTTTTTCCAAAATTGTTTTTTTCTGGTATATTTGTTCCAGATTTAAATTAATTTAATTTTTTATCTTTGACGATTCACACATTTAATATAAGTGCATATGTACATTACATTTAATTGGATATGTGTTAATTTTCTATATGATTATAAAGCATTCCTCTAGATTGGTTAATTGGCCCACATGTACACCAGGTTGAGTATCTTTGCATGCCCTAACGATAGACTCATTTAAAACTTTTTCGGAAGCAACTAATGTATTGACCTAGCCATATACATGGTATATTTAATGAGTTAAGAATTACAAGCAGATGTTTTATCCCTGTATCAACATGGTTCTTTACGCGACTTGTATCAACATGGTTCTTTACACTTGTATCAACATGGTTTTACACCTGTCTGAACCCTGCAAGAATGAAATTTGATTGCAACATAATTTATGATACTTCATTATTAAAATACATTTGTGCATGTTTTTTGGCTGCAGTTCAAAATAAGGTCCAAAAAAATATTCTTAAAATATTTTTACAATTTTTTTCAAAATTTACCTGGTAGCATGGGAAATCTTTTTTTTTTAAATTTAGAATGGGAAATCAAATTTTAAAAATTAAAAATTAAATTCAACAGGGTATCCAACAGTCAAAAAGAAATAACATTTTTTCATACTTGAAAAAACACTTAAATGTATTTTTCATCCATCCTCTTTAGACCAGGTCATGTTGTGTAGAAACACTGGTGTGTGTTACTATTTACTGCTGTCAGTTATTACACTATGGCATTGACCCCTTCCAACTGTCCAATGGAATTTAATAATTCGGGTTAATTTTGTTTCAATAATAATATAATATAACTTTTTAAAATGTTCCAACTCATGTGAGTGGCACTTGATTTACTTATTGCCTACCAGGATATTGTTACAATAATTATCGTTAATGATATATTTAAATGTTCTAGGGAAGGCTCAACCAGTGATTCATTTTAATTATTAAAGGGCAATGACCAGTGTTAAATACATTAATAAGAAGTTTTTTTGTACAAATAGTTAAGTGGGGGGAGGGGGGATTAGAGTGCTTGTCTTTACGTGTTATTGAGTGACACATTATTAGATCATTTATATACATGCATGCATTCCAAGAAATAATATGGACCATAAGGAACAAATTGTAGCTGTTTTTGAAACACGAGTCAATAAAAAGAACTTTAATAATGTTCACGCTTTTTTAAAAACTTGTTTTTAAATAAGAATATAATATAGTTAAGTTTGGAATCTAAGGTTTGTGAACTAAGAGTGTTCCCCGGTGTAGATTATTGTTAAACATGACTGACAAGTCATAATAAAACTTGACAACCAAAGCTTACAACTAACAGGATTTTGTTTTAGTCAATTAATATGGACTGGCCCATTGCCCCCCAAAGTTAAGTTAACTTTTGTTTCTTAATGCATAGAACTGTCACATCTATGCTTGCCAGAATTTCGTAGTTATTTGCCTCCATAAAGCATATCATGCTTTTTTTTACACCCCCCCCCCCCCCAAAAAAAAAAAATATATAAACCTCAGGACCTCCCTTCCCCCGTCCCCTTTTTTTTTCTAAAATTCATCACATTTTGAACTAAAAGTTATTACAAAATTAAACGCTAAAAATGAAAATTTAATCTATACTACACTTACTAATAAAAAATTAAATGTATGAAAGTGAAATGGTCTCTGAGAAGCCATCGATCATTGAAAGTTGAACATCACCATCAATTTGAGTTTAAATTTGTATGATGAAAAATATAAAATGTGTGATGTCACATCTTTACCGTGTCCCTGTTTCAAACTTTCTTAGGCTCAAGAGCATGACATACCATGATTTAAAGAGCATTATTTTTTAGAAAAATGGCTAACCAGAAACTTTTCTTGAGCTTAATTATTATTTTTAAATTCTTGATTAGTCCATTTCAATTAACATCTCAAAAAGGAGGTGTTAGTCTCCTAATGAAAAAAAGAGAATTTATGTTCCAAAAACATTGGCAAGAAAAAAAATCCATTTTTAGATAAACCTTTAAAACTAATTCAGTTGGTGTTTTTTTTCCCACTTTTTATTTATTTTCATGTTTTAAAGTACTGGTTTTTGCACAATAAAAATTTTATTTTTATTGAGCACAATTGCTTTCTTTATATTTTAGTTTAAAATCTATTGAGACTTTTTGTGACACTGGAAACTTTCAAAGAGTGTAAGCAATTTATTGAGTGTAATATTCTTGATATTTTTTTTAATGAATTCTATGAATTAAATATTTTTAAGGAGAACTTTTTTTTCTTTTAAACTTTAAATAAATGCAATAAATTGTCTTTTTTACTTTTAGACCCACCTGCCATCTGTAGATAGATCAATTTTATATATACATTAAACCACAATCACTTTTTACCACTAATTTGTTTTGTTATTTTGTTGTTTCAATAATTGGTGGTTATGCAATTTTTATATACAGGACCATCAATGCTGCTTCACTTTAAAGAGACAGAAATAAGCAATTTTATTTATATACATGATCATCAAAGCTACTTCACTTTAATGAGACAGCAAAGCAATCAGTTAAACAGTTGTACTGAATTTTAAAAAGACAAAAAAAACTTTCAAATATCAAAAAAGAATAGAATGTTTAATTCATTTTCAAATTTATTTACATGTGTGTAAAGTGTTTTACGTTAACTTATAGAGGCAATCAACCAAATTAATAAATTCAACTGTCTTAAAAATTATTTTCTTGAAATTATTTAAAATTAAGGATTTGTTTTAAAATATCCAAAAAGATCTCTAGTTAAACATCAATAAAGACTAATGACAATAATGAAATTATTTACATGGAATGTTCATTAACTTTTTACAACTCTTTATGCAGATTCTTGTCTGTTTTTACCAAACAAAATAAATTTTTATAAATAACGCTAACTTGAAATATAATTAAAGGAAAAAGGTTCAAAAACTGATTTTAAATATTTGATAAGTGAATCCCATGTTAAAAATTACAGATAACTTTGTGAGAGATGTCTACAAAGGAAAAGGTCAACTGTTTCAATCTTAATTTAACTTACAAATATAAGGTAAAGAGTGGTATAATCAGCAGCATACAAATAAATCAATTATGCTGCATAAAAATAACACTCAAAATATCAGATAAAAATATATACATGATATATTTATGGACACTAAAATTTTGTCATACTTGGCTTCTGCTAATGGTCTTAAGCTGTAAGAGATGGATTATTTCCCTAAAAATACCTTCCATTATCCTAGTTCATATGGATGAATACATTATTAAAACAATAATCAGAATTACTAAAATATTTCGGCACCAATTTCGAATGAGATTACTGAAAATAACCATAAGCTAGAAAAAAAAACAAGCAACTGTAACCTAGTTTACATAGATTTAAATATGAAGTGTATCTGAGAACTATATACAATAACTTGGATACAAGGGCAAACTCCAAGCCAAAATATAAAAACAACATTGGAATGTTCTTATTATATACATTTATAACATCATGTCACAAACTCATCAACAACCTGTTTTTACAAAAAATGAATTATGCCTATAATTGCAGTCAAACCAAAAGACACAACGATGTATTCATACTCCCATTTTAAAACATCATGTTAAGTTTACTTTCTTAATTAGATTTAAATTGCTGGTCACTAATTAATACAATCATCATCAGCTGCCTTAGTTAAAAAAACTTTTGATATTATATGAATGATTCTTTGTAGCATAGTTAATACAAACAATTATTGCTTAGAACATCTGAAAGGATTACACAGGGATTCATCAGATAGATGACAGTAGCAGCACATATATTGTTTTCAAGAAATTTAATATTTGAATTTTAAAATTCTCTTTCAGATTACATGCAACTATTTTTACAAACAGCTGTTTGGTTTTCAGGATATCCTCTCTGATTCTTCTATCATATAGTTGTTAAGTTTTGAGAATTATTTTTTCATTCATCACATCATTCTAATATTTGTACATAAATGTGTTTGGTGTAGATGCTATCCTCTGATCCATCTTACATGTAGTTGTTAGGCTTTGCGGCATACCTCTCATTCTTCTTGTCTTTGCCAGCCAACAGCAGGCAAACAGATGCAAACAGACAGAACCAGCCAGACATACAACAGAGGCCGTAGGACCAGGAGAGGAGATTCATGTCAGGTCGCGGGATCCACAATCGGTCTTCTTTGTACACACCAAACACAATCAAGGCAATCAGGATGATGATAACTGCAAGGAGAGAACATCGTTTGATTTTTTATAGGCAACATTTATTATTTCAACACCGATTTTGTGGTGGGGGGGGGGGTGTGTGTGTGTGTGCTGGCTTAACCAAAGTTTGAAAATAGTGGGAACACTGAATTATCTTTAAGCCCATACAAGGCTGGTTGCTATTTTTCAAGCTTTGGTGGTTGAGGTTTTTTTCACAGGTATTTACCTCCACAAGCAATAGCTGCCTTACAGTGTTTACATACAATGTTTAATTCACCTAGTCTATCTGCCTATAACTAAAAACAAAGGTGAACCCATTAACTTTGGTTGTGAGGTGGGCACACAACCAGTGCTACCAATAGCATTGTAAAGCTAATTCTAGCACCTTAAATGATCGGGACGGTAACATAAATCCCTAGGATACCTTTCCGGTACAAATACAGTGTATTTGAAGGCTTTTCACACATTTGAGATGATGGGTTCAAATAAGGCAAACTTCAAATCTAAAGCTAGTTACCAAAGTCTAAAAAAGTATCACATGCCCCTTACCACAAAAACCCATGGCTGCTCCTGTCCCCAACAGCACGGCAAATTCAAAATGTTTTGGGAAGAGCTTAAAGCTGTACAGAATCAAGCAGACCGACACCAGGAAAATGAAGAGCAGAGATGCGGACACCATGACTTGCACTGACACAAACCATGCTGAAAGAAAACATTGGTGTAAAATATTAACTAATACAATTCTTTTTTTTTTAAACATAGAAGCACAAAATTTTACCTGAATTAAAACTCATATAAAATTTTAATTTTTGGCCCTAAGACATTTACTTTCAACATAATAACAAATAGATAAATATTCAAAGAGATTATTTGTCAAATAATTAGATTATATTATTTAATATTCGAAGACTGTCTGTTGGAATTATGAATCAATGCCATCTGGTTTGTTGTATATAACTGAACTGGGGATGGCCCAGGGTGCATGGGGCAAAGTCTGAATTTAGATTCACTTTTTTATGCACATATTATGTAAGAATAATGTTTTTAGTGAGCCTTTAGCCCCCTCCTGGAGTGATCATCAGGCAGCCATGGACCGATTTACCTTACATTACCTTAGTCATACTCATTTGGCCAACAAACAAATAATTCATTAATTTACATATTTTATTATAGGCTACCTAAAGTTGACCTTATTGTCTAGTGCCCATATAAAATGCTAATTACATACTACAAAGGTCCGATTCATTAGAACAAAAGAATCAGGTATCAGGTCAACTATCTACATCAGTGTTTTGAATTATTATTTACTACCCTCCTACCCCCAACAAATTGTTTTACTAGGTCTCACAACCCCTACCAAAGAAAACGTCATAAGCCTATTATAATTTAATTTTTTTTTAAATTTATTTATTTATTGAATTGCAGAGAGACCAAAAGCACTTGGAAAAATAAACCTAAGACTTATTACACAAAGTAGGAACATTTTGATGATAAAACATTTAAAATTATATTAAATATAATAAATAATTTATTATAAAAATTTGACTAAAAGAGTTAGTTAGCCACAGAGCTGGGGATGTCTTCCACTGCATATATTAAATACCTCATAAATTATTTTGTTTCTTTTTTCATGCATTATTATTATTATTAAGACTTCATATCATAATTTCTACTCTGGTCTTATATTATAATCTGCTTTCCTCACATGGATTCTCACAGATTGCCTTCTAATTTTTAGCCTTCTTGCACCCCATGAGATGTCTCTGAGTAGGCACTCCAACTTACTTACAGTTTAAGTTATACTAGTTAGTTGTACTAACTTATACTTATATAATAATTTATAAATATAGGAGAAAAGTTTTCAATTATGAATTTTTGTGTGATTTACAATGTAAATTACAGTGAGAGTGTGGTGTCGCGGGCACACCAGGTTAGGCAACGCTGAATACTGTAATTATAGTTCTTGTTTTTATTTCTCGTTTTTTGGCTCTATTCAATGCCCCACTACCTATAAAACAAAAATAAAAAGAATTAAATGGTAGGCACTAAAACTAATATTCAGTATGGAAAATCGCATTTCCGGTAGCCATTACACTACTAATTACACAGCTTACATACTATACTCTTCCGGGTTTATTTTACTTTCAAAACAATTTCACTCACCTTGGAGACAAACCTGTAATTTAATCAACAAATACTATGTAAAGTTAGAAGGGTTTTATTTTCATGAAGTTATTTTACTTACGGGGCGAAACCCACTCCCAGATTGGTCGTATCTCTGGTGAGAACACGTAAAAACATCCAAGGTACCGCTTGCCGTTGTAGTCCTTGTAGAACGTGTAGTCGTTGAAGCAGAATTCCCAGAGGCCGAGTTTAACGAAAGTTCCTTTGAACTCCTCGAAAGATTCCACCCAGTAAGGGCTGGCAAAGGCCACGATCATGAAGAGAAGGGCGGCAGCCGTAAAGAAGAAGCCAACTATCGTTAACATCCCCATTTTGAATTCCTCTATCTCGATCGTTTCCTCATCGGGATTTTAAGTAGGTCATTTACCTGAACACATTTGACGACACTGGGCGAGTCCACCGAATGTCGTAAAACGAGGGTAAGAAGGATATTTCAACAGCCCTTTTTATTTTGTAGTAAAAAAAACAACAAAAAAAAAACAACAAACAAACGAAACTATTTATTTGGTTTCTATTTTGTTTGCGCACGATTTTTAACCATCAAAAGACTTACAGGGAAATTTTCCCCTCCACATTGTTATAATAAAATTTTCTTGGGTCTTTTTTTCTTCAGCAAGTGGCAGATTGTCAAAAATTGACGCAATAATAATAATTATAAAAAAACCTTCAGTTCTCAATCGTTTTCAAGTCACGATCACATTCAAATAGAAGCAACGCATCCTTACTTACCGTGATAAATTTGAGGGAGGGGGGGGTAGCTTTTAAATAAAGGTACATTTTTGGAAAGTAAAACATTTTACACTTAATTTCCAATATAAGGCAATTAGTGACATATTGTCACATATTGTATATCATGAATGAAATTGTAACTTAAACTCTAAGACACCAATTAAAAGATAACACTATCTGCACTGAGTCATTGCCTCTCTTAACCTATTGTTCGTTTCAGCCTTACCCCCACATATACATCTCTTCGCCACACCATTCGTGGTCACCTCCCATGGGCTGGAACCCTTGCCTTACTACAGAGGTTCCCAACCTGTGGTACCAGCACCGATGGGGGGAAAAAGGGGGGGGGGGGAGATACAGGTTGGACGGGGGTGGGGGCTGCATATTTTGGGAGAATTCTAAATGCAGGCAATTGACAAGATGAAGATTATGAAAAATCAAATGGAGGACCAGACTCCCTAATAAACTGCATTCGTGGTCACCTCCCATGGGCTGGAACCCTTGCCTTACTACAGAGGTTCCCAACCTGTGGTACCAGCACCGATGGGGGGAAAAAGGGGGGGGGGGGAGATACAGGTTGGACTGGGGGGGGGGCTGCATATTTTGAGAGAATTCTAAATGCAGGCAATTGACAAGATGAAGATTATGAAAAATCACATGGAGGACCAGACTCCCTAATAAACTGCCAAAGATTGCAAGAAACTACAGGCGTAATTAGTTCTGTGAAAAACGACAAAACCCCAGAAGAAGACCTCATCACAGCAGAACTTATAAAACGTGGAGGAAGAGAACTACACACTATGACACATAAAACTTATAACAAAAATCTGGTTTGGAGAGAAAATTCCAACAGAATGGGAAACAGCACTAACAACCCGCATAAGACATAAGCAAGAAATGTTCCAAGCTACCGAGAAATGTCCCTGTTAAATGTAACAAAATACAGACAAAACTAAATTTTTATTAGACTGCCACGGAACTCTGAACAAATTCTAGGTGACTACCAATGTGGATTCAGGCAAAACAGATCGACGACTGGTCAGATTTTCCCCATCAGATGCCTATTAGAGTAGTGTTACGAATATAATATCCCATTACATCAACCCTATGTTTACTATAAAATTCCATCAAAAGAAAATATCTATATGAGACTCTGCAGGAGTTTGGCATAGCCAACAAACTGATCAGACCCGATACAAGCTGGGACAATAAAATGCACTTGGTTGCAAATTGTGAATACATTCTATTATTTTTGTGACGTCACATTGTACTCCCCCCCCCCCCAATTCTTCCGATGACAAATGTCTGACCCCCCCCCCCTTTTCCCTCCATACGATCTCAACATCAAATATAAATACTGCATGCACCCCAGCCCCTTTTTTAAGAGAAGAAACGAAAGCTCACCTTCTTGTATCTGAGTAATTGGGTTTTTTTTGTTTTGTTTTGTTGGGGTTTTTTTTTTTTTTTTNGACGCTTTCCGTCCACATCATCAAATTAAAATTTTGAAATCTTTCTGGCAGTGTTGCTGGATATTGTAGAGTTTTTTAGCCTCAGATTCATATTATGTTTTATGATTAGACGAAAAACAAAGTAAAAACATTACAAAGTAATTTTCACTAAAAGTTCTAAAAGACCGGAATCGCCTTTTTTTTTTTTGGTACTGTTCCGTATATTTCAACACACCGTGTGTATATTTTAGCTAATTACATATGCATAAATAATTTGTTATAAATAGTAACATTTTAAAATTAAACAAAATATGTTTCAGTTGTAACTATGTCATTTGTATAAACAAAACAAAAATAAGAAAAAAAATAAAGTAAGGACCACTAACAAAAATAGCTTCAAGGTCTGGTGGACAACAAGTAGAGCAGTTGACAAAAATACAACCACAAAAAAAAAAAAACACAGCAAACTGCAAACATTCAAGTGCAATCTGTATGTGGTTGATAATAAAGTTTCATGTTTATTCATGATAGACAACTCTTAACAATAATGTATAAAAGGGAATGTAACTCACTTGAGCAAATTACAAAAAAAAAACAATAAGTTCAAAACTGTACACAAAAGGCTAAATACAATATATGTACATCAAGGCTTCTATTTTACATTTTAGTATAACACACTGTTAATTTATTTATGGAATGTTTAGTCAAACACACAGACACCCAATGGATAACGATAGTGGAACGTTTAGTGAAACATACTTGCAGTAGCCCCCCACAATCAACCAAGTCAAACACACAGCAACCAAAAGGCTAACATCAGTGGAATGTTTATTAAAATCCCCAGTAACTCAACAATCAACACAGTTACAATAATCTAAGGACAAACAAATTTGGAATATTGTCAAACTAGCAGTAACCGAACAATTGACTTAGTCAAAAATACTCTTACTCTTACAATAACTCAGTTGCCAAAAACAGTGGAATGTTTAGTCAAACATACTCTACAATCACTCAGTTGCCAAAACAGTGGAATGTGTAGTCAAACTCACTTAGATTTTTATACCGCCGACAACAATGGAATAAAATTTTGAGGTATCATTAACAAAAATTATTATAATTTGTAACCTCATGGGAGACATGAGCAGCATATGGTTGATATGATCTTTCTGCTGATAAAAAAAGACATCAGCGAATATAAGATGGCTGCTAAAGAAGTCTGTAGGCACAGCATATTAAAGATTAATGGATATAAATCCCAATTTTGCTAAGGTTTAAAAAATGTTTACGGTATTGTTCATATACTCGGAGGTGGTGGATTAAAAAGAAAAATTAGATCTTTCACAAAATAAAACACATTAATTTTTTTTTTAAATGCATGTACAGATGGATATGTATAACTTTGCATAACACAAAAGCTGCATCGAGGAGATCAACAGAGTCAGGCTTAAATCCATAATACTAATTTGTTTCTAATTCTGTTAAAAATATTTCTACTTGTTTAGTCCAAGTTTCTTCATTTAATCAGCTAGTCTTAGTTTCTTCAAAAGCATGCCCCTTTTTGTCTCAAAGAACAGATTATAAATGTTGAACTAGATTGCTGAAAAAAGCTTAGACTTTCTAAGTTCCTTGATCATGTTTAGATGATACTAAAAATAAAGGTGCGAGAATCTGGATTGAGTAAGTCAACATCAAAATAAAGATGTTAAATTTTTGCTGTTGTCTCATACACCATGAGAGTCATCTGCACGTTGTAGGCCTATACTAGACAGATAAAACTCTAACAAAGGCTGATTCTTCTAGATCAGGCCTGCACCTACTTGGCGGCCCGCAAAGCAACGAAATATTCTTTATTATCATTATTTTCTTAATAGCTTTCCCCCTGTCCTATCATCTTTCGGCCCGCACAAGTTTTCATAAAGTATTATAGCCCGCGCAATTTTTCATAAAGTATTATGGTCCGCCTTACATTTTGAGTTGTGCAGGCCTGTTCTAAATAATTTCATTATAAGTTTACATTAAAAATATCATTAGTATATATTTTAGAATATTGTGTAACACTACATGCTCCAAGATTTAGCCAACAGGTCAAATGATTCCACCATCAGGGTAGTGGTGATCTCAGCTTTATTCAATCTAGAATTCTAGTGTTTGTTGATTTTATCTTTAATATCAGGGACATAGATGAGGACCGCGAGAGTTCATGAGCATTAAAGACATCCATTAATTGCTCTAGTATCTGGCAAACTCTCCACGCGCATACACTTTAGCCCTGGCATCACGATCTCTGTAGGCTTTTAGTCTCAGGAAATCAACGGAGTGGCACATGCTAGCCAGGAAACAGAGGACGGGCACAAGGGCACACACAGCGTATGAATACGACAAGTGATTGGATTCCGGCTGGGGCATCCATTTGGCATCTTGGGCCGAAATAATGCCAAACATTATTATGGCTAAAGCAACCAGTCCACCTGGAGATCAAAAGGCCATTTAATGTTTAAGTATATAAGTATTAAAAGTAAGAATATAATAATTATTAAAGGTGTATTCTAGAAAAGAAATTCAGCTGACAATTTTATAATAAAGAAAAATAGATTGTTTTTAATATAAGAACTCTCAATAAAATGGAAACATAAGTTGAAAAAAATTGAAGTGGCTATTCGCACCCAGGTCCCTTTAGACTAAATCCCATCAGATGTCATTTGTGGTAGTTTATTTAAGTTAAACTGAAGAAGTAAGTTTACAAAAATATAGTCCATTCAATTATCCTTTATTTGATACCTCATTTTGTCTTACAAACCGAACAAATAGTTTTTTAATCCCAACCTCTCACTTCTGGTACCCAGGTGCCAATAGTCACAGCCTTAAAAAATATTCCTAATGAAAAGTTTAAATAAAAAACAAAATCCATAGTTTATGGGATAAATAATTAAATACACATATACATCAACTTAAATTAAGAAGATTTTACATTAGTCCTGAAAGTTACATTAAAGAAAAATAGCATTTTTCTTTCGTGAAATGGAAGAACAAAAAATCTGCATTTTTATTTATTAACTAATTATTTTAATTACAAATAAATGTTAATGAAATAAATAGAGTAAAACTATTCAACAACTTGCCTTCCACAGCATTCAAAGCACTTGAAATCATTAAGAGCAGATGTTCATTGTGTGCACTACACGCTCTGACATAATACAGGATGTTGAGTATGATTCCCACGGGTTGTGTTATCAGACCTAACGTAACAAAAATGACAACTGCCTTGAACCAGCCTGGAACAAACAAACAAAAATGAAATAAAAGACATATCAGTAGTTAGGCTATATTAAAAATAAATTAGATTAATACCAAACACTGAAAGAAATATCTTTTTAGAAACGGTTTACATGTTACAATGTCGCACATAACAGTAGAATATACAAATATATAATTTAATATTTATAGATAACTATAGACAACTCTATCATAGCATTTAAAAGTTAAATTGCACTGACAGTATAGATTCAACGCCAGCCTTTAGCCACTTTAGGGTGTGCGACCATAGTAAATATTTAAATTCCCTTAGTCTTAGTTAATTATATAGTGAAGTGTGAACATAGGATCCGGTGGTGTGGAAATGGAACAAAGTACAGTAGAAAAACTAAACAGTCTAAATTAATGTTAATATTAAAATACGTATGGTTATAGTGAAGTGTGAACATAGGATCCGGTGGTGTGGAAATGGAACAAAGTACAGTAGAAAAACTAAACAGTCTAAATTAATGTTAATATTAAAATACGTATGGTTAGCTACATGAATAGCATCATAACACATGCTTCATAGCCTACGTCGTAATCCGAAAAAGAGCCATACAGGGAAGGGGGCGCAGAATGGGTATTTCGCACAGTTATTTAGTTCTTTTTGTTAAACTGAAGAAGTAAGTGTAAGTTTACAAACTTATGTGATATAGTCCACTCAATTATCTTTCATTTGATAACAAATTTTGTCTTACAAACCCTAAAGTATTATTTTTAATATTTTTTAATAAACTCAACTTCTCACTCTTGAATCCCGGGTGAAAAGCTGCAGCCAAAAAATAAAAATTTAAATTTAATTTCAATTAGAACCTGCAGGCCTCTGCATATGCCAAAGCTAGTAGTAGTAAAAGTAAAAGAAAATGAGTAGAAAGACAAGGCAGCTAGTGGACGTGGTCTAGCTAGGAAATTTATGGAGTATAGGGTATCATAGGTCTAGTACTAGTATAAATAATAGTATTATAAAATAAAAGTATACAAATCAAGTTATACTATTACTACTATAATTTGACTTTAATACGGAATATGAATATAAGTAGGCCCTATAGACTATAGGGAAATAGTTACTGGTACGTGAGTAACGACCGTCGTGACTGTAACATTATTTAGTAGAATATTTCAAGCCTACCTGGAAATATCCAATCTACAATTTTCCTCAAGTCTCTGTCAAATACATAGTTGCAACCATAATAACGATTTCCTAGTACATCGTTGGCCCAAGTTGGAGCAGGATAACCGTCTTCTCTAAAACAAACAGCCCAGAGCCCAACACTTGATATACCCGTGTCTCTCATCTTGGCTGACTGTTGCCAGTAAGGGTAGGCACTCGAAAATAAAAGTAAGACGATAGTGATCGACATAAGGATTGTTCCTGCTATAGTCCAACCCGAAACCCGAAAAGAACTCGCCATTTTGTCGTCTGACCTAATTCCATACGACTGTCAACATAAAGAGTCAACACACGGCAGGTACGTGGAAGAGTTCATTTACAGGTAACAATAACCGAGCGAAAAAATTTTACAATATTTTTATAAACCTATTTTTACATTTTAAGAACAGCTCCTCGGTAGTATAGTGGTAAGTATCCCCGCCTGTCACGCGGGAGACCGGGGTTCGATTCCCCGCCGGGGAGAGCATATTTTTTTCATTCTAAAATTTCTTTAGGATGAATTCTACTAATTTTCTGGAAAGCATCTTTTAATAATTTTTTTTCCCTCAAGTTCAGTCAAAATTTAAAATTAAAAAGTTTTTATCGTCAATGTAGTAAGAACTTAATAATTCATTTATTAATCTTTAAAAATGTGTTTTTAACTACAGATGAACAAAAGAATGTAAGGAAAATTAATTTTAAAAAAAAGAGTAACTGCTATTTTAATTAATTCGCGTGAATAAAATAATTTTATATAAGATAAGATTTTTGTATTGATCCAAACAAATGGAAATGTTGTATGATTGCATTATACATTTTCAGCACATAAATAAAACAATTTGAACACAACACAATTATAAGAAATTATTTCAAACAGTGTTTGAAACAGCCATTCAGTTAGTTCTCTTAAGCCAAATCGGGGACTTATTAGTTCTCATTTAGATGTGTGACCTCAGAGGGAGCACGCTGGTAAATTCGTACAGATTGGGGAACAAAAGAATTTGTATATCTTTCAGTCCTCGCCCTGATGGAAAGAATTCGTCCCGAACGGCCCGATCCTAAGTATCTGTGATGAAGAGGATGGGATGTATCATCCAATATGTGTTTTGTTTTACAAAAAACATATTTCTTCAAATAGCTCTTCCAGTGAAAGATGTTTAGTTTGTGTTATGTTCCTAGCTTTCTTGATTAGTCGGTTTATGCGGTGTTTAATATCAGACGTTGAATTCCCACACCAGCAGATAATTAAGTAGGCTTCCATTGCTGCACTGTAGAATAAGTAAACGACTTGCTTGTATACGCCAAAATTATAAAGTTTTTTTTTTTTATTTATTTATTAATTTATTCATTTTTTATTTATTATATTTCTTTTTTTAAAAAAAGTAAATACTATTTTAATTAATTTGCGTGAATAAAATAATTTTATATATTTATTCATTCTAGACCAGGGGTCACCAAACTTTTTTTCACTTCGGGCCGGATAACGGGAAAATATTACGGGCGCGTGCCGGTTAATCATTCTGTACAAGACTTGCAAACCAGAACGAAGGCTCTTGGAAAACAGACGAAAAACTAAAATAAGACTTGCAAACAAGAACGAAGGCTCTTGGAAAAAAGACGAAAAACTAAAACAAGACTTGCAAACCAGAACGAAGGCTCTTGGAAAACAGACGAAAAACTAAAACAAGACTTGCAAACCAGAACGAAGGCTCTTGGAAAGAAGACGAAAAACTAAAACAAGACTTGCAAACCAGAACGAAGGCTCTTGGAAAAAAGACGAAAAACTAAGTTTAGTATTCCATGTGAATCATGGGTGAGTGGCGTGCAATGTAAAAAAAAAAAAAAAATAACAAACAAAGAAAACCAACATATTTATTTACTAAATAAGATAGAAAACAAGGCGACGTTAACTAAAAGATATTTGCATCAGACCTAGTGCGCACATATTCGAATCTCACATACTAAGCAGCAAAAATGGCTAGTGAGATTTATAAATTTGACGTATGGCTTTCAAGATATCAGAAATGTTTGGTTTGGAATTGCTGCATCTAATCAAAAGAATAGTTTTCAAATGTTCATAAATCACTCTCGTTCGATGTGTTGACTACGCATACTTTATTTTTAAAAAAATCTTTGCTCACAGACATAAGTTGTTCCATGCATGCTTCAATTGGATGTCAACTCTTGCATGATCGGAAAGTCAAAATTGACAACACAAATAAACACGAGATGTTGTGAAAGATCAGTAGACTTATCCAGTGCCAGAGAATACCACAGGAAGGTCCAAGCCGTAGCTGTAACACACTGTTCTCTTTAAGTTCTTCTGTTCTCTCCAAATTTATTCTTCTGTTCTCCGTACAACTGAACTTGCCGAAAGGTAGTTAATTCCAACCGCTGTTTCTAAGATTTTTAATGTCCCTCTATGTTTCCAACACTCCTCTTTCTTTCACCCATTTACCGCCCATGGTACTCATCAGACTACAATATATTATAATGTAAGGAAACCTTGCTTACTCTCTGCTAACCTTCATCTATATCTGGCATTCACTAAGGAAACAACTCAGGCGATAACATCTGATGTTTATAATCTTGTTCTTTATTAGGCTGACACTTCGCTTATACTTTCTCTCATCTCGCAACTCTGACTCCCTCTTCTTACACCGTCCGAGTTCTCCCTGCTATCTGCTTCTCGGTCCGGCCGCGCTTTGTCCGTCCCGTCCAGAGGTCCCTATTTATAAGTCCCTGGTTCATAGAGTTCCCTTCCCAGGTCTGTACTCGCCCCGCCCCTTTTCCTCAATCGGTGCCAGGTTACCAACCAACCAGTCGTCCCAGGGAAATGCCCTGGTCAGGTGGCCGGTAGCGCCCCCGGCGCTTGATCCGTCGATCGTGATCCCTGGTCAGATGGCGCCGGCTGTACCTGGTCAGACGCCCCCGGCGCCGTCGTGATCCGAACTCTCCACTATCCCCGGCGCCGTCGTGGTCCGAACTCTCCACAATAATTAGCGGGAATGGGCTTAATGGAAATTGATTCTTATTTTATAATTTTTTATTACCAGCTGCTCCTAAAAAAACAACAACCTTAAGTTACTTGGTAGGTTTTTAAAATGATTTCATTATTTGTTAATTAATTCTTATTTAAATACATTTTTTTTTAATGCTGATCTGAATTCGAGTTTTAGCCACGTTAAATTTTACAAGTAACTTTATTTTTACCAGTGATAGACTGCGGTAATGTGTCCACTCAATATATATTAATATTAAAAGCAAATCGACCTCATTAAAACAAAGTTACCTCAGATTGTATTATAAAAGTTAGTAATCTCCTTTTAGTAGTTAATTTTTTGTTTACGCCTGCTTAACTCGATCCGACTAGGCACTGCGTTGTGAGTAGTTATTGTATTCATTTTACATACTGTATGTTTATTTATTTAATATTAAGATACCGTATTGTAAAATTTTGAGACGATATTGTACGATTTTAGGAGTTCGAGGGTTAACAGGTCTGCAAAAAAAACAAAACAAAAAACAACAAGAAAATCGATATACAGTAATTTAAAATGGTAAATTAAGGCGCTTAGCATCCAGGAGGTCTCCATACGTGTGAAGATCTCCCAGTATTCTAAACATAGTTTTGAAATTTAAATTGTATCACAACGTCTCGTGTTCCATACGTTTTGTCAAGAAAGTTCAAATACCGTCGGCGGGCCGGATGTACTGGCTTGGCGGGCCATAGATTGGTGACCCCTGTTCTAGACTTTTCAGCAAACAGGACATTAATTATTTTTTAATTTTTCAATTTAATTTCATTTCTTTTTAGTTTTACACTTTTGCTTTCACTTTTCTGCTTGATATGGTGACCATGTCTTTAATTTATTTACATTTAATTTTTTATATTTTTTTAAAGTATTAGAAATTTACTTTGCTGTTCACATTTTATTTTAAAAATAGCGTTTTTATCCCTTGTGGCCATCTGGCTTCGGTGAACAGATTGTCGAGCTTCCTGGCTGATAGATGCGAGATGCGTCACGTAACAGATTTAACACAATAGGCTAAATTGTGTGTAGGCTTTGTAATGAACACAAATCCAAAGCTTTACTATAGATATATAGTTGTCACCGAAAATAAACGTGTGCACGACCAGAAGAAGATCGGTTTGTTTGAAATGGGTCAACAATTGATTACAGGATTTAATACATACATTATGGGAAATACCGAAATCAAACCATGAAAAAAATAAACTATTTATCAGCCCTGAGCATGTAGTTATGTATAGTTATAGTGACAGCAGTGACGTGGAAAGGGGATTGGAGGGGCGGTACGCCCCGACGGCACTTTTTTGTAAAATTGTATAATGCAAGGGCAGCATCGTCGGTCAACTGAAGAGTTTTTCTTGTGTAAAAAGAAAAGGGGGGGGGGGGTAAAATCTCTCTCCCCCCCCCGCCCCCAATCGAGTAGGTGAATACCAGCTTGGTTATAGGAACAGCTCAAAGGGCAGCATGGTCGGTCAACGGAAGAGTTTTTCGTGTGTAAAAAGAAAAGGGGGGGGGGTAAAATCTCTCTCCCCCCCCCGCCCCCATTCGAGTAGGTGAATACCAGCTTGGTTATAGGAACAGCTCACGAACGCAAAATTAGATCTAATGGATAAAAATGTTCTAGGTCCAGCATGAATTGAAGGCGACTTGAGATCGCTGCAATCAGCTGGTAGTTGGTACAACATTTACTTGAGATCGTTGCAATCAGCTGGTAGTAGGTACCACATTTACTTGACATCGCTGCAATCAGCTGGTAGTGGGTACAACATTTATTCGAAACATATTTCACTCACATGACCCCCACCCACCCCGCACACTGTCTGCACAATTTAAACACAGTTTGCATAATTTAAACACAGTCTGCAGAATTTAAACATATTCTGCACATGTAAATAGTCCATGGGTGGGCAGGGTGAAAATATTGTCATGTAAAAGACGTGTTTTCGTTACTTTCCCCGTGCCGTGAACTCTGTTTGATCCCAAAATTAGGCTGCGTTCGTATTTAGGCGTGGCCTATTTCCTTTGATCTTGGCCGTTGTTTACTACCATTACCAACTAAAAATAATTAATATTTCTAATAGAATTAGGGTGGACAAGAAAGGTAGACAATGTCTAAGTGGTTTCTGGAATGCGTCTTACGCTGCATATATAAGAGGTTCAGAGAACATTAAGGGAGAGATTAATTTATAGATATTTTTCACTTCACGAGACAAGTGTATTATTCTGTGTGTACTCATATTATGTGTTTATTCGCATTCATCATTGTCCCTTATTAATTGGCATATTGTACTAACTGTGTACCGGTACAAGACATATCATACTCTGTAAGTTGATGTTTATATTTCTTTTGTTTTGTAATTTTATTAATACTTAAATAAATCTTATTAATTGTAATTAGTGCTGTTTTGAGTGTCGTATTTTTGCTATTGTATTTTTCTATGGTATCGTCCTTTGTTATGCACTGTGTGAACGAGCCATAAAATTAAAATAAGAGATTAATTTCTCACTATCTGTTTTTTTAATTAAATAAATTTAAGTTATTTTTTAATGTCATGATTATGTTTCCTAATATATTTATGGGCAGCGCGGTGAGCCCAGCCCTAGGCTGGGGTACCGAGCTCTACAAGAGCACTGTAATAATATGAAGAATAATAACACAGTCTGCACAATTTAAACACAGTCTGTACTAATTAAACACTGCACAATTTAAATACTGTCTGCCCAATTTATCCTTAGCACAGTTTAACTTTATGGTGTTTTATGTTTGCCACAGTATCAAAGTAGTGTAAATTATTTGATGTCATACTGATATCATATTTAATTTGTTATTTTTTAAAGACATGAGTTAAACAGTGTCTGTTGATGTTAACATTGGTTCAGTTATTATAATAGGAGTCTACAGAGAGAAAATTTTCAGTCTCCACACATTCAATGTCCAGTCTACATACATTTAATGTCCAGTCAGTGGCAAATCAGCTCCCAGTCAGGACCCAGTCAGCGCCCAGTCAGCGCCAAGTCAGTGCCCAGTCAGCGCCAAGTCAGTGCCCAGTCAGCGCGAATTCAGTGCCCAGTCTATGCACACTCAATGTCCAGTCAGCGCCCAATCAGCGCCCAGTCTACTAACATTCAGTGCCCAGTCTACACACATTCAATGTCTACATCCAGGCATCGTCCAACCATCATACAACAGTTTTCAGTTTACTACACACTGTGTCCGGTCAACAACACTACTGACCTATATTTAATCAACAGGTCAAAGTTGGAAAGTACTTCTTATCATGCTTAACACGCCAATAAAAATGCTATTCAAGTTAAATAAACAAACATACATGTATTAAAATTTGGACATGTCCCAACACCTAGACCTGCTAGGAAACAAGGCGTGCCATGAGCGTGTGTGTCAAGTGCTCGCTTTCGTCATAGGGCAGAGGCGGACTCTTACATATTAGAACGGTCCGCAAAACATGCTATTTCTCAAGAGAGTTAAGAAAAACTATGTTTGAAATACAACCTTGAGATTGAGATTAGTATTAGCGTTTGACAGGGCCGTGTCAGGGCTGTGTCAGGGCCGTGTCAGGGCCGTGTCAGGGCGGTGGGGCGAAGGAGAACCCCATCGGGGCGCAAAAATCGTCAATACATTCTATGGAAGAAAAAAACAACAACATTAAACTCTATATATTTATGATTATAGGTGAGTATCGTTTTTAATTTATTAATGAAAAAAAAAAAAAAAAAAAAAAAAAAGAGGGGGGGGGGGGGGGGGGGGGGCGGGCATTTTAGAGGCGCAACTTTTCCTTGCCACGGGCGTGGTGATGGGAAATATGGTATTCTCCATATATTATACCTATTCCTATTACTGGTACTCCCGAGATCTACGTTACTGCCCATACTCGCGTGCGGAGTATTGTGGTCTTTCACACAGGACCGAGATTGTACTGTTCCTAGTGATGTCCTTAGCCGTGTGATGTACTTTTATATCGTCACGTGATCAGTGACACATCTCACGTGACACATAGTGCGAATTAATAAAAAACACATGAAATCACACCTTGGTGAAATATAGCGTATTCAGTACCTGGGTGTATGCCAAGTTGTGCACAATAGCGTATTCAGTACCTGGGTGTATGCCAAGTTGTGCACAATAGCGTCTTTAGTACCGGGGTGTATGCCAAGTTGTGCACAATAGCGTCTTTAGTACCTGGGTGTATGCCAAGTTGTGCACAATAGCGTTTTTAGCACCGGGGTGTATGCCAAGGTGTGCACAATAGCGTATTTAGTACCGGGGTGTATGTCAAGTTGTGCACAATAGCGTCTTTACCACCGGGGTGTATGCCAAGTTGTGCACAATAGCGTCTTTAGTACCGGGGTGTATGCCAAGTTGTGCACAATAGCGTCTTTAGTACCGGGGTGTATGCCAAGTTGTGCACAATAGCGTCTTTAGTACCGGGGTGTACGCCAAGTTGTGCACAATAGCGTCTTTAGTACCGGGGTGTATGCCAAGTTGTGCACAATAGCGTCTTTAGTAGCGGGGTGTATGCCAAGTTGTGCACAATAGCGTCTTTAGTACCGGGGTGTACGCCAAGTTGTGCACAATATTGCGGAAAAGGTGGGGGTGGAGGGTGCGGCATTTTCTGCCAAATACAAAGTGTTTTCTTTGGTGGGGAGCGGGCGTTAGAAACCTTGGCTCGCCCCGGGCGGCACTGACGCCCCCTGTTGTTGCAACTAGAGTTCACGACGTTCCCAAGAGCAATGATGTTAGTTATTATAATAAAACAGCTGAAACATCTTGATGCTTATTAAATAGATACCTATAGCTCATCACACAATGGCGGTGACAGAGCGTGAACTTCCGATCTACTAAAGTTACATAAAAAAAATATTTTTTTTAAAATATACGTTGAAGAAATAATGCACTTTTTATAAGAATCTCAAATATTGCTAACTTCTGTGAATTTTATTTCGCGTGTCTGTTGATCACAGCGTTACAGCCATACATACATACCTAGAGAACTATTCTTTTTTTATATTTATAAACATATATATGTATGAACATTGTGAAATGGATTTTTTTAATTTTTGAAAATAACAATTTGGATTTCCGGTGCACGCGAGCCATGTGGGGTGTTGCTGGACATGGGCAAGCAAAAGCTGCATCTGGTTGGGTGTCGGGGGAGGGTGTGTGCATAGCCACAATTTTAATGCCAGTTCCCCAACCCCACCCCACCCCATGTATATTAAAAACAAACAATTTGCATGGAAAAAAATGACTATTATAGCATCGTCTTCAGATGCCACCCAGGGTGGGCATGGGCGCCCGCAGAAAACTTTCTAGGGGGGGGGGCAAACATTTTTTAGTAATGTTTTAATGTAGTTTTAATTTACTGTAGCGTATTTGTATGGTGAACGAACGGACAGGACATCAGCTTAGTTACTTTCTCTTTATTTTCTCTTTACTTTAATACATTTTTTGTCTATAATTTTTGTATCCAATCAATCCGGGGGGGGGGGGCAAGTGCTCCCCTTGCCCCTACCTGCGGGCGCCCATGAGGGTGAGTGCCAATTTTAATGATTATTATTATTATTAGTGGTCTTATATAGTGCGGTACCCCTTGCCGAGGGCTGATGCTTCCCCCCCCCCCCTTCACACGATCCTGGCTCTTTGCAGTTACGCCATTCCTAAATTCTCCAATAGTTCGCCACTTTTCCCTTCCTGGTATATCCACATAAAAAGGGGGGCCACCTTCTTCTATGTTGTGTACTGATGGCCTATGAAGGATGCGTTATGATGTTTGAATGCAGTCAACTAGTCGATGCTGTGTACAGATTACCGAGCACTCAGCCCACGACACACATCTATAACGACACACAACCTTGACTCGAGTAGAGAGGTTAAGTTAGTCAATCTCTTCACTTGGCGAAAATAACCACTTTACTTTACGGCTGGGCCGTCAGCTTTGACAACGACCTTTCTGTATGCGTGTTGCCGCGTTGGATTTTGCGTGTGAGTACTGATGGGACAAGGATGTCCGTAGATGTGTACTTCGTGGCTCAACAAGGTGAGTTTGGGATATGTCTAGATATAATATTGTAATGGAGATTTTACGTATGGATCTATGGATTTGGGTTGGGTAGTGGAGTTCATGAAGGGATGGGTGGATACGTGTGGATAGTATGTGTGGGTGTGCGGCTACATGCGAATTGTTTGTATTGATGTGGACGTGTTGACACATATGGATTGTTTTGATGGATGTGGATGGGTTGATACATTATAGTACAAAGGGAGTGTTTTGGATAGATGACAAAATCAGAATGTACATTTGACATGGACGAATTGGTTTATGCAGGATTATGAAATGGATCGGTTGATGGAAAAGCATTATATTATAGATTGATAGTTGAAACGGGGCGTAGCAAGCAAAAGTGCCCGGTGCACAGGCTGAATTTAGGCGCCCTTTTAGCCATAAAATATATATTTAAACATCAAATTGTGCATGAACATTTATAGTTTTGGAAACCCTCGAAGTGGTGATCGGGGATAGTGCCCCTATTTGCCCCCGTGGGTTAAAAACAGGAGTAAAATTATTACAGGAGTAAACTTAAAGAGAATGGGAAAAAACAGGAATATAGGCCTAAACCAATAGACATATGAAAGAATTAGGGATGGTGTGTAAGGTGAGATGGATTAATATAGGATTGTGTTTACGGATGGCTCAGTGGATACATGACTCTACATGAGCCAGTGCATGAATGGATACAGAAGTAGTGTACAAAAAATGTGTATGTGTGCGTGTAGGCGACGATGGATATAATCCGAATTTGTGTCAATCCATTTGTTAACTCGGAGAGGGGAACATGGTCATGAATGGATTGATGTGGATATACAAGGATGGATTTCTTTATACATTAGTTTATCATTAGATTCATGCAGAGCCATCATGTGATTTTTAGAGCGCCCCCCCCCCCCCTGTAACGGTCCTTTTGCTAGTTTAATTATTTTTATGTGACACAACTTTGAGCCCCTTATATATCAGACACCCCCACCCCAACACACACACACAGGTGTTGCCTGGCCCAAGGGATGGCTCTGTGTGCAATGGATACAATACTACGACCATGTTAGGTTGGAGTGCACTGAACAATGAAGTACGTGGTGCCTGGCCCAAGCGATGGCTCTGTGTGCTGTGCAAAGGATACAAGATGAATCGCCACAGACTACGACCATGTTAGGATGAGTGCACAGATCACTGAAGGGTAACTGTTCATGGACGCTTGAGGCGTAGAGACAACACTTTGTTGTTTGCGTACGACTTCCAGTCGGGGCTCAGCTCTTAACATAAGACCACAACGCCGTGTCCCTAAAATAGACCTGAGCTTCTTTTTTTTTTTTTTTTTACGTATTGGTCAGAAATCTTAGGCAGAAAATGTGTGTTTGGGGGGGGTGGGGTCAGCACAACACCCGAAGAAAAAAAAATTTTGAGAAGCTGACAATAGACTGAATGATTCATAACAACGCTGGATGATACTGGACTAGAACTCACTGACGTCGCAGGGCCAGCATGACGTGTAACCGTAGTATAAAGTGAGACCGACATTTTGCCGAGAGCACAGAGGACCCACACTACAGAGGGATTGGAAGGTGGGATGATTTCAAGTGAGGACGACTTATATCAAGAGGTATGTCAATGGGATTTCGAAATCTTGATAAGTCAATGATTATGTAAACCATAAGGTTATGGGTAGCACTTTCATTAAACCATAAGTTTATGGGTAGCGCTTTCGTCGAAAACATAAGTTTATGGGTAGCGCTTTGATTAAACCATAAGTTTATGGGTAGCACTTTGATTAAACCATAAGTTTATGGGTAGCACTTTGATTAAATTATAAGTTTATGGGTATAGTGCGTTGATTGGGCAATCCATAAGTTTATCGGTAGCACTTTGATTTGGAAAACCATAAGTTTATCTGTAGCATTTTGATAAAGAAAACCATAAGTTTACGGGTAGCACTTTAAGTAAACCATCAGTTTATGCGTAGCACTTTAAGTAAACCATAATTTTATGGGTAGCACTTTAAGTAAACCATAAATTTATGGGTAGCACTTTAAGTAAACCATAAGTTTAAGGGTAGCACTTTAAGTAAACCATAAGTTTATGGGTAGTGCTGCTGGTTGCTCCTTTACTGGTCCACCACCGCATCCCATGTCATTTTGATCTAACGTCATTTCCACAAGTGTTATTTATGGGAGATCGGATAAACGCTATTATATGTCCATAATACAGAATAAGAAATGCTTTTGATAAAAAAAAAAAAATTAAAAAAAACTTTTCTTAATTTTTCTTTATTCAAAGCATGAAAGGGGTAATAATATATTTTTTTAAAAATTTCACCACCTAATTTCAGGTTTTTGAAACCACAACATTAACCAATATAACAAGCCTAGACTCTTGGGACAAGTTATGTGTAGCATTAAATGATTTGTTTGGAGTTATCAAAAATATTCCATTGAACTTTTCTTGACCATGTCCAGAGTTGAGCTGTGTTACATTCGCTTATGTCAGTGGTTCTCGACCTTTTTAACGCGGCGACCCTTTAATGCAGTTCTTCATGGTGCGGTGACCCAATCCATAAAATTATGTTCGTTGCTTCTTCAATAATATGTTGTTTTTTTCCGATGAACTTAGGCGATCCTCGTCTAAGGGTCGTTTGATCCACAAAGGGGTCAAGACCCACACGCCGAGAACCGCTAACTTATGTGCTCTTGTTTTAAGCTCAAGAGGAGGTGAGCCCAATGGACATAGTACTTCAAACAAAATGCTATCAATCAACAAATGATAATTTACTAGAACCGGCTGTATAGAGCCAAACTCAATCCAAACGGGGTGGATCCCAATGCGAGAATTGTACAGTGGTTCTCATATAATTTAAGACGCAGGCGTGAAATTGTGGAGTAAGGCATTAGTTCTGTCACTGCAATTAAAACTCACTCATCGTCATCGTCGATGAAAAAAAAACCCACAATATCCAGGTCATGTCTATCTATACGATCATAAAGATCTTTGCAAACATCGTTGCAAATAAATACACGGCATATAAGCTCTTTAGGCCTGCTATATACCCAGCAATCTGTCTTTAGAACCATTGATTCCTTAACTTATATATATATATTTTTTAAATTTTAATTTCTTCAAATACATTTTCTTTATTCGAAATATTTTTTTCGTTAAATGATACTAAATTTGAGTTTGCCCCGTTTTTAAAAACTCAAACTTGAAAGTTTCGGTTCAAATATACTCTTAAAAAAATGTGTCTGAAGATGTATGTCATACAAATGACACATGCATATAACACATATGTTTTGTTTTCTTTCCCCATCTATGGCAACTCACGTGCAGCTGCCCCAGGATGCACCACGCCACCGACCTTCTCCGGCACGTGCTCACCCTACACACATCGACCACCACGGGGTCATCTGAACACCCTCTCCTGGACTCTCCCGACGACGCCACCGACGAAAACGACGATGTCCCCGAGCCCCGAAACGCACCCCGCCTTTTCAGGCGATTCTCGTCTTTTGTACCGACGGCCCCTCGCCCCGCGCAGCCGCCAAAATCATCTTGTGCGCCACCATCCACACCAACGTGCATACCGCCCACCCCACCTTGTGAATCGCCACAGACTTCCCCTTACTCTTTCGTGCCGCCACGCCCAACCCAAGAAGACATCTTTAAAACCTTGTCTCCGCCCACTGCCCAGAGCTGGAAGAAGTGGAAGGAGGTCAAACTTGTTAACGACTTTTACGCCAACCCCACCGGCCATCATGATGAAGACAGGGTTCGCTCTATGCTCCGAGGGGAGTTCAGCAGCCCCACAATCCGCGAAAGGCATATACATTCGGGGATCAGTTATTACGGGTCTTCTTCCCCTGCAAAGGACATGTATGACGACAACGTCAAGTATCGCCGGGCGAGCTGCGCGTCCGATATCCCATCCCGTCCAGAGTTGGTCTCCCCGTTCACTGGACGAGGTGGGATCTCCCTGGGAGCTAATGTACGCCGGCGTGACATAGTCTTTCATTATGTGATTGGTAAAGGCGCCTTTGGTGTGGTCCATAAAGGTGAGTTTAGATAGAGAAATGTCAATTGGCCATTGTAGAGACGTTGTTGGCATGATATACACGCGTCTTATAGACACGTTGCTGACATTAGAGACATGTTGTTGACATCAGAGACATGTTGTTGACATCAGAGACATGTTGTTGACATCAGAGACATGTTGTTGACATTAAAGACATGTTGTTGAGATTACGGACACGTTGACATTAAAAAGTTGTTAGCATTAGAGACACATTTTTGACATTAGAGACACATCATTGGCATTGAGACACATCATTGATACACTTTATTGACATTAGAGACACATAATTGACATTGAGACACATCATTGATACACATTATTGACATTAGAGACACATAATTGACATTGAGATACATCATTGACACACATTATTGACATTAGAGGCACATTATTATTAGAGACACATTATAATTAGAGACACGTTGTTGACATTGAAGGCATCATGTTGACATTTGAGACACGATTTTGACATAAGAGGCACGTTGTTTACATTAGATACACATTGACATTAGGGATAAGTTGCTGGCTGACATACCAGGGACACGTTGGCACAACAGGGACACGTGGGCATAACAGGGACACGTGGGCATAACAGGGACATGTAGGCATAACAGGGACATGTAGGCATAACAGGGACATGTAGGCATAACAGGGACACGTTGGCATAACAGGGACACGTTGACATAACAGGGACACTTTGGCATAACAGGGACACTTTGGCATAACAGGGACACTTTGGCATAACAGGGACACGTTGGCATAACAGGGACACGTTGGCATACCAGGGACACGTTGCTATGATGTGACACGTTTTTGACATGCTGCGATATTTTGACATACTGCGACACTTTACTGACATATTAAGACAATTATCATTTGTCTCAAACTGCAAATTTTATTAATTCTTACGTTAATGGCTCAGGTAATGCCAATGTAATTACTTTTTTTTAATGTTTTTTTTTCATTTGATCGATGATGAAAATTTGGTTTGGGTGCGGTAAATATTAATATCAACAACTCAAGCCCTCATTATTTTACAGATTTTTATCTTTGGAATGTATTTTAAATTAAAAATAATGACCATATCCTATACGATTCATTTCCCAAATTCAAATTTCAATGGCTTGGAAAATTGCCGTAATTTCCTTAGGATACAATACACCTGATTCGATACATGTATAAAACAAATATTTGTTGTTGTTTTTTTTAAAATGAGACTTCGCTATTTATTTCCCCATTAACACTGGGTCAAACCTTCTAGTAAATGAAAATGTTGTTACAACTAATGCTCAACAGGATTTCTACAGGGCCATCCGGTGGCTGTCAAAATTGTCCAGAAGAGACGAGGGTCAGGCATTCACAGAGAGATCCTACAGGCTGAGAGACTGGCTTTCTCGATGAAACTGAGGCATGACAACATTGTCAGTAAGTCAACCTTAGCTGGAGTTTAGGTGTACCGGGGGAGGGGGAGGGGGGATGTTGTCACAGTAACTAAATGATTTCAATTGATATTTTTTATTGTGCCCGCTGTATGTGAAGAACATGTGGCCAGATTTGATTTGTACTTGATACAAGAAATTCATAAGTTACCATTACAACAACGAAAGATACCAGTACCGGTATTGATAAATGTTCAGATGTGCCAAATAAGATTTAAAAAGATGAGTTTTAATATAACCAGTTGTTTTTAGTAATTTTAGTTGTACCAGTTGCAAGAAATTGAGTTGACCATAGCCAGATATTTCTTCCATTCACAAGTTAATGAATTTGTAAACATGATTGAGATGAATTATTATAGTTTGGCATCTCTTGATTTGAGGTCTTTGAAAACTTAAGTCCACACTTAACCCTTTCTCTATACAGATATAGTAGGGATCAATATGTGTGAAGGGGTCAGGGGTGACGCATTGATTGTGATGGAGATGGTCAGTCCCAAGACCTTGCAGAATGTTTTGGATGATGCCAACCGTTACATCAGATTAACAGAGAGGCTTCAGTTTGCCATACAGGTCAATTTACATTTTATTTTGTATCATATTAACAGACTGAGAGAGGCTTCAGTTTGAAATACAGGTCACTTTACATTTTAATTTATATCAGATTAACAGAAGCTCTAGTTAACCATACCGGTCACTTATGTCACTTCAGTGTCTAGTATTTAAGCCTTAACAAAGGCGAATCATAAAGATTCAAATAAAATATACAGGTCACCATTCTTGCTTAGAAATGGATACATTGAGAATGGCCAGTTTTCTTACTTTTAGCCAAAGGAAACATTCAACATACAAATCATATATTACGTTTCATTATTTACTTTCCAAAAGTTCAATATACTAAAAAAAGGACACATGCAAATTTCATTAAAATGCATGCCTGTAGAGTTGTACAATATTGGCTGGCAATTATCCAGAGTAAAAGCCTCATCCAAGTCAAGACAAGAAAAAGAATAAAAATAGACTGTTAAAAAAATATGTTTAAGATGCAGATTTATATTTTTACCATTTTAAGTAATCCCTGTCTTTCCAGATTACCAAAGCATTGGAATACCTTCATGGCAATAATGTTGTGCATCTAGATGTCAAACCGAGAAATGTGCTCATGACCTTGGATGACGTTTGTAAACTTGCTGACTTTGGGAGCCTGACAAGTACTTACGGTTCAGCAAAGGAGGAGCCACAATATACACAACTTTTAGGTAATGTAAACCACTTTGGCACATTAGGTATTACAAAAGACTTTAGCACTAAGGATGACTTTTGCATGAGGCATAACTTAAGCAATAGGCATGACTTTGGCACTAGGCATGACTTAGGCACCATGCATGACTTAGGCACGACTTAGGCACTAGGCATGACTTAGGCACCATGCATGACTTAGGTACTAGGCATGACTTAGGCACTAGGCATGACTTAGGCACTAGGCATGACTTAGGCACCATGCATGACTTAGGCACCATGCATGACTTAGACACCAAGCATGACTTAGACACTAGACATGACTTAGGCACAAGACATGACTTAGGCACAAGACATGACTTAGGCACTAGGCATGACTTTGGAAGTATACATGAATTTGGCACTAGACATGACTGTGGCTCTAGGCACGATTTAAAGGTCCTGTGCACTGCTTTTATATAACCACACTATCTTGCACAACTCTAATACTAGTATAGTAACCATAACTTTTAAATTTTTATATTTTAATATTATATAAATGCTCATATATTCACAGGTACCCTGGCTTACAGAGCCCCTGAATTGATGAAGGGTTGCTTCCCATCCTGCAAAGCTGATATTTATTCCTTGGGAATAACTTTATGGCAAATGGTAAAACAATATCACTTAGGCATTCAGCTTTTTAAGAAATAGAATATGACCCAATGTTCATCAGGTAATGTATTATTACACATTACCAATCAATTTAAAATAGCAATTAAGGAACTATTTTAAGCTTTGTATCCGATTTTGTAAGTAATTTTTGTTCTTAAATCAATAAATTATAATTTGAGAATTATTTTTAAAAAAAAAATAGGCACTTTGCGAGAATTTCCACCTGCTTTTGCAAAATCTCATCACAATTCCTTATTTGAAAAAGAATTATCTATGTAATGTTTAAGTTTCTAAAATCAAGTTTTGATAAATATATTTATGCTATAAATTATATGCCTACCCTACCCCATTTCGCGCCCCCTAAACTACATTTTTACTCTTACACTTAAAACTAAAATTCCCTATCTCATTTTAAATATTTGATATTAATGGAATTTGATACATTGATATCTTATTAAATATTCAACCAAACTTTTGCTTTGTTCTACAATATTATCGAAAAATCGTTAATAAAAATTATTTAATTAAAAGAGCAATCTCTTAACCCTTTTTCATGTCTTTATCAGCCAGGAGTTTTTTTTTCTAAAAAGAAATGTTATAAATGTCATAAAAAGATACACCCACTTTACTTTTCGCAAATTAAAAATGTATTTGTTCATTTTTTTAAATCTAAAATCGTAACCCACCTTTGTTCATCTTTGTTCACGCCCTATGAACTGTAAATAAAAAAAATATGGCTCTATTTTTAAGATTTTTAAGATTAAATTTTCGCATGTGTAAAATGATAGGGTTTTGATATTCATGGGTATACCTTTGTAAATGTACCCACATTTTGTCAATGGCATTGATTTTCTTAACTGGTAAATATATTTTATTTCTAAAAAGAGTTGTAACATCTCTTTTTCATGACTGTAATATCATTGGATTGAAAGATATTGTCATCCACATAAAAATATACACACCCTATATCCTACCCCCGATATCTATGTACCGGTACGTTAAAGGTTGATAATTTATAAAATTCATTCCTTTATTCTGAGGTGCATCTTGTGCCCTCTGGGGCTAAATGAAAGTATCAAATACACCCCCCCCCCCTCGATTTTAACAAAAAAAAGTTTTAAAAATCATCTTTGGGATGGTAGCCCCTATGTACACAACCACACATTTATTTGCACATCCCTGAAAATTCTTTAGTCCCAGATCCATATTACCATACATTTGTTATATATTTTCTAAACAAAATTTAAAATAAAATGCATAATTCTGTAAATTAAAATGTTATATTTATTTGTATTGACAATTTAAAAATCAATTAATTATATTATATTTATTAATTTTTGTCACAAGAGGTTATTAAATCAAAGAAACTTAGAGATTTTTATTTGCAAGTTAAAATTCTGCTCTTTGAAAATAATATAGATCTAGTTTTTTGTTATTTGTGTTAAATCGAAATTTAATTTGATATTGTTTAAGACATTAAGATCAAATTACTTTTAATTTAATTTGCAAATATGATTTAATAAAAACAATTTTTTTGAATCTCAGATCATAATTTGATTTAAAAAAATATCAGTACTCTCAAATTATGATAAAATGCTTCAAACAGTTCCTTAATTGTTATTTTAAATGTATTTGTAATTTAAAAAAGACTTAAACAAATACTAGAATAAAAAGGGATATGTAATTTTTATTTTGCGCATTTAAATTTATTCAATTTCCATAAGCTTATTGAGCTTATTTTATACTTGTTCTTAAATTTATTTGATGAAAAAAAAAAAAGTGAAATACAAAATTGTCCCGACACACATAATCATTTAAAAATGCATGTCACTACAGAGTCTAGAATTTTCATTTATTAAAAAAAATACTATGTCGTATTAGAAAGCATTGCTCTTTATTCAGAAAGAATGCACCAATCGATTCTGTAATTACTTCTCAGCATTCTTGAACTATTTATAGTCATTTAAATATGGTGCTCATTTTAAATAAGAGACAATTTAAATATTTGCTAGTTATTTTACAAATAACAAAAAGAAATAGCAAAGACTTTCACAGGATCCCTTAAAAATAAATCAAATATCTCGGTTAAAGAAAATTGTAATTTACCATTTATTTACTTTGACTGTACATATTAAGCAAAATATTTGAATTTTAACTTTTCCCACCCCCTTTATGCCATTATTTTTTGTGCAGTAATCAAATTGTGTAGTTAACTGTAAGAAATATGAATTCTCACTATTGTTGCAGGCCACAAGAGAGACGCCCCATTCGGGAGCAGATCCTCACTGGTTAATTTATCAAGTTATAAAAGGAAATAAAAGGCCTGATCACCATGACACAAGAAATGACATTGCTGAAGTCAAATACAGTGAACTCTATGTTGCCTGTTGGGATTCTGACCCATTGCAAAGGCCACAGGCTGCTGAGTTTCTAGTCCCTCTTAGAAATCTGATTGAATTTTCCTGGGACAGTGATTGGAATGAAAATCTAAGAGCAGATGAGATAGATAGATACAAATAGAAAACTAGATTGTTTTTTTTTATTTTTTGAGAAATTTTAAGTGCAGCTGAATGCCATAATAGTTAACATTTACCCCTTTTACAAATGACTTAAAAATAGAAAAAATAAAATTTATAGAAATTCATCAAGGTAAGTGCTGGCCACAGAAATTGTAACATTGTTACCAATTATAAATTTGTTGTAATTTTATTTAACTGTTAATTAATTAGCAGGTTGGGATATAAGCATCCCCTTGCTTTTGTGCCATTCAATGTTTGGGCAGTTTCTTTTTTTGTAACTGTTTGAATCTTACTGCTGATTTAAAAAACATATTCAACGTCCTATGCAAATTACAGTTTTCTTGTTCAAATTTTTCTTTCATTATTTCATTTACAAGCAAGCATTTTTGGTTGCTCATCATTTCTCTCTTACATATTTTCACATTTTGCTTCACATTTCTTTAATGAATTTTTAACATTTTGTTCTGACATGTTTTTCAAGAATAAATTTTGAAGAAAAATTCACTTGAAATCCAAGTTTTATGTGTTCTCCTTTCTGTGTTGGCATTGAAGAATGCCACCCAACCCATAATAGACTATTCCAGCAGTGTTTAAACAACTCATTCATGCTAAATCCATCCTCATCAGTGGCGCTACAGTCCAAATAGGACCTTCGCCTGCTCCACCACATCCTTTCATTTGGAGTGATCCATTTCTTTCAACCATGCCTGAATCCCCCAACTGGTGTAATGTAAAGCCTTCTCTTAATTGTCGATCCATCTCAGTCTTGGACGACTGGTGAGCCATCTGCCCCTAGGCTTCTGCTTCATTCACAAATACAAATAGTCTCAAGGTACTGGAACCTTTATGAAAGTTTCTGCTGTATATATGCTGCAGGTAAAATGTGAAATCCATGTATTTTATAGAACTGCCTGACTCTGATTAGAATTAGACATAATATACTTTGCCTGAATTTCTTACGTAACCTATAACATATACATTCAAGATAGTGAAACGATTAAGAAATACAAAAATTAGCCCATTTCGTAAGCAAAGATTGTGTATTAGTATTATCAAAATAAAATATTTTATGAACTGACTGAACTGTCTTAAGTGTAAGCAACTAAAGTATTCTTTGAAGTTCATATTCTTCAGTATATATTTATATTTTTTATTTATATACCGGGTACTTTATAGTTGTCCGGACTTTAGCAAAGCTTGGTTATGGTTGCTCTTGCACTCAAGCTTAGAAAATTATCTTTTAAACTTAACAATCTTTTTAAAAAAAAAAGAACTAGGATGGGAATGAGTGAATTTGATGTTTACACAGGCGTCAAATAATGCTCTCCCATAAACAGTTTTGCCTGTACAAATATAGTTACTGTATCAATAATACTTCCTGAGAGAAATATTTTAGATTTCAGTTTTTGTAAGCCAGAGTTGATGCTTCTCAAAATTGACATTTTCTTCCCACCTTATGTGTGACTTTAAAAAAAATACAATCTATTTAAAATACTAAGGTATTAAAACAGATATTATTAACACCTTTTTAAAAATTGTGCTTTGATATTTTGTACAAGTTTGATGTATTCCAAACATCCAGCGCCAAAAAAAAAAAAGACTTAAAAGCCCAGTTTTATCTACTTAATAGGTGCACAATTCTCTCCTATCAATTACAATGCAAAGGATTTGAGCAGTAAAACTTATGCACTCCCAATCTATTTGCATTTTCTATTCATTCATTCAATTTATTTGATACAGCACCAACTGGTGCTTGAAACTGCAGCCATCACTTCTGCCCGATTAGCTCGTTTCTGTGGGAGCTATTTTAGCAGGGTCAGTTGAGCAATCAATCTAGAGATCGTTTAATGATAGTTTGACTTGTAAATTTTATTGTAGGTAGGTTTTGATTTGGCCTAACAACCCATTCATATTACATTTACATTAACCGCTAAAGCAATTAAAGATTGATAGGTATAATTTTTCAAGTAATTTTTTTTTACTGTTAAACGGAATATGAAATTTAATTTTCCATTAACGTTTCAAAGATAACAAACTTTCTTTAAAAACTCAAAAAAGAGCACAACATGCATATTTGTAAAATTGATCATCTCTGGTACAAACTTTTGTAACATTCAACTTCCATAGAAGAAGTGACTCAGAATTGCATTTTCACACCTGTATTTATTAATTATTTACATGTAATATGGTGTAAACATAATTTAAAAAAAACAACAACAATAAACTGAAGTAATTTTAAAATACTATGTAAACTAACCTTTACTTCCTTTTGTTTTACATGCAGAACATCCCCCCCCCCCCCCCCCCCCCC